TCAACTGATTTAGATAAACCTTCAATCGTTTTTGGAATAGCCGTCAACAAACTGTGTTTTCTTTTTAGTACTGAAATAACGTTCGGTGGACTGTATTGAATAATCGGGGTCAAAAGAGAACATAGATGACCAATTAGTATGAAACTGAATCGAGACTTTGTGTCACTGTGTACCCATCTGGACAATGGAGAATTCGCTAAAATATCGATCACTTCGGTAAAATGGTGTATGTCATCTTCATTCACCAATCTGCAATGATCTGCTGAACCATAGAACAAAGACGCCAAGCCACGTAAATAGGATCGTTCAAATAAAATTTTCACGTGAGAAATACAGAATTTCTCAGCGATACCCGCTACTGATTTTTCCCTATTCACACTAAAAAAATAGCAAAATAATAGATCTTCTCACAAGAAAACTACATATACATACTTCACAATTTCGTTCTCGTCGGTCTTCTTTTCGCTCTCTTCTTTCCATGTTTCTTTCAGTGCGATAAAAGGTGACAAAAGCCATTTAATTGAATCTAAAACTTTCCGCGCTGCCAATGGATCATGAGTTAAATATGCAATAGCATATTTATGTTCATTCTGATCCCCGCGCAAAATAGTTACGCAAAGTCGAAGGCCAGCCAAAGTTAAAGCATACTGTCGTCTACTAATCAATAATAAACTCAATGTATAAACTTCGACTGTATTATTGAATAATTCATGGCGAAAATAGAAATGACCAGCTAATACACATACAGATACAACTATAGAATAGATAAGTGGAATTAATGAATCATTATTTTCATCAAGTAAACGAATAGCATAAAGAACCAGTTGTGCAACAATGGTGTTAGAGTTCTGAGCATCGGTAGGTGTGAAACCAATCATCAGTAATCTCTTATATGTGCGCAATTCTTCTTCATTTGTACGTTCAAATTCATTGAGAACAATGTTAACTATTTGACGCGCGGCATTCGCTGCTGTGTCCGGTTGTTGCAGTTCATCCAGAAGTGGCTTTAATCGTTTCGAGATGATCGTGGAATAACCACCTTGTAAGTTTTGTCGAACGTTTCGTATGTCACGAACTGTTCGAACTCGAAGACTAAGTAGTGTGGACATAGATCGACGAAGTAATTCGTTGCTTGCTCGATATTTCGATGATTCTTGATGGAAAAGATTTCGTATCAATGTTAGAAGTGCGTCGTCAGTCACCATCGAATCTTCTCTGATCAATAGCGTATTTTGTTGAAGATATTTCGAAGAATTTAATAGTTCAAAGAAAGTTTTCATTGACCGTTCGTACTGAGGATAGGTATTGTCTTGGTAATCTTCGAGAGAAAGATTCTGTTGAAGCCAATTTTCAAAAAGTTGTTGCTCATTCACGAGAAAACACAAGATATTTAGTGTAAAGTCTATCAGTCCACTTTTATCATTTGCAAGTTCCACAAATACATTCAGAAATCTAGGTTCTAGACAAGCAGGTCCATAGAACAGAACCCAACTCTCTGTTTGAGCCTTCGAATCGCCTCCTTCTTCATTCGAACTAACAGATGGGTTGAGAAAATCACGAATAGTTTTTCTTAATTCAGACGCATCCGATAGATCACCTTCATATATGTGCCTTGTGGTAAGTCCGTGACAACATTGTTGTGTAGGAGACATCGATGGCTGTTCATTCGACGAAGAACGATTCTGTACGGTGAACAGTTTCTCATTGATATCCATCAACACTTCATAATTCGTAAAACGAGTATCAATGGTCGACGTTGAATTTTTGGAGAACCTTTTCAAGAAATAACGAACACGTTCATAGACTAAACTGCCCGGGACACCTGTTGTGATCATAAAATTCACCCGAACCGACGGTTTTCCAAAGAGTGTACAACATGAACACATCGAGTCAGACATGTTTTTCACTTGAATCACAGCAAATATCACAAACAACTAATGTTAAATATACAGCGTCATCTAAAACTAAACACACGCAATTCTACAGGTGACTATTGTGGCTTCTCGTCAGAGAAAAAGTAAACTTGTGTATTCATTGTTTATACCTTATAGCCGATCCATTACGCGTGTTCTACGTGTTTATTGAAGCATTTCATTTCGCATGACTGCTCTTTTCTGCAACAGATGATACGCGGTCTTTTTTCCTGACGAATATATTTTTCAGATGTTTTTCATGCCATTCCAATTAGAACTCACTTACGTCAATATTGTGGTGAAATTTAATTCAACGAAGATCGTCACTTCGATAGTTTTGCTTCGTGCTTTTTTTTTCCATAGTCAAAAAGATAGGACATGACTGATTTGTGCTTTTTCAACTGTGAAAAATAGAAAGGAACACTCATGGTAAATGTCATACCTACGGTAGGTCGGGTTTCAGTGAATCACGATATGTATGAAACTATTTATGAATGAGAGGTACGTTTCTCAAATGGGAATTTCATATATATGTTTTCACATAAATGTTGCTTCCTGCAAGACACGTAGACAGTAGATCGTGACTCCTCGAGGTCAGGTAGTAAAGAGAATATAACGTGAGAATAACCTCATAGACTTGAGTTTAAGTAAATGAATAAAAGAAATAATAAATATGGGAAAATAGGTAATGGTTGGGATATTTTATATCCAATGAAAGGATCTGATCATCTGTCACTTGCTAATTGGCAGTGACATCTTTGCTTGGAAATATTTTAATAAATCTCAAATGATTATCTCTTAGGCAAATTTCACAAATGAAACAAAATGGGTAAAGTTCGAAGTTCATATGGAACACAGGGTTGTTTGATCAGCTCGACTTGCTGAGATGATCAACGAACATCTTGAAGATCCTTCCATGGATACATTTTCAACGAAGTATGTGGGAGAGAGAGAATTGCTTTCTAACACACACAAAAGAACAAAAAAACTACAAATATCACAACAATGCAACGTTTATGAAGAATAATCCAAGCGTTGTTTCGACGTTGATACTGCTGGATTAAATTTTTGATTTTCTCGTTTTTCTTTCATTCGTCGATTCTGAAACCTAAAAGAAGACGAACTCTACCATGAGGAATGTATTCAAGCAATAAGCATACCAAATTTTCACTTGACGATCAGTCAATTGAACAGCTGCTGCAATTTCAGATCGCCGTTTACGTGTCAGATACTGACTAAATCGATACTCTTTTTCCAATTCGAATGTTTGAGCCCGTGTATAAACTTGTCGATGTTTTCGTCGAATTTGATCTCCTAAAGAGAAAAAGACTTTCCACACACTTCCAATCCCAGTTCTGCTACTACCTTTCATCCATTCGTAAACATGGTTTTTCTCGGATAGTACCGGTCCATCTTCCATTTCTTTCTTCAAGTGTTTCGTTGACACTGGCATATTTGATGACATAACTTGTGAAGTAGATTGCAGATCATAAGTAGGTGGTAATCGAGGTTGATTTTGTAAAAATAAAAGGTTTGAGTCTTGAACAAATGATTGCGTTGATTGCATATCATAAATCGATGGCGCATATCCATACGATGGTTGCTGCTGTGATGTTTGTTGCGGTATAGAATGATATCCATAGGATGATGATGATGATGGGTGAAACTCATTTTTATGTTGCTCGTAAAGACATTCAACAGCTTCTGGTTGAAAGTAGGCTAAATTGCCTAACGATTGTATAGGTTGTAACGAATGATGATCGTAATAATCGTTAGACGTTGGCGAGAGAAGATAATTTACAGCGGATGTCGTTCCGTCCATATAGATGTGATCGTTGAAATAGAATAACAAATGGCATACACTCCAAATACAGTCAATAAAGATCGTATTTTAACTACCGTTTGAAACTGAAACTAGCGAATGATTAATGTCTTTCAAATGAAAAAAAAGAACATATTGAAAACTAGGGAGAAGAGGAGAGAAACACTCGAAAGATATTCGTATAATTAATTTTCTGTGTACAAATGATAAGAGAGAGAAAGGTAAAGAAAAGTATCTCATTGGTTAGACAAGACACTTTTTTTCTGTTGGCTCACATAAATCATATAACAATCAAGTAAATCATTTCTTGTTTGCTTCTTTTCTTCCTATTAGCTAATCCATATTGAAATATTCAACTGATAAAAAAATTAATGTCATAAAATCTCTTCGATTGTGTCGAATTGAAAAACAAAATCGAAGACTGTCTAACGATAGAGATCAGAGAGATATTTGATAAGCAATAAGCACAGATGATTTATGTTTATTCAATATCGAACATATTCGCCTGTTGTAAATGTGTCCGCCGACATTGATTCGTAACGGTTTCACACGTAATACTCATCGTTATTGACCATCTGTTACAAGGATATTCCCTCGATTTCGTATGACACTTCAAAGTTTGTTTGACGATCGATATTGTTAGAAGAGGAAGAAAAACAAATCTTCTGATGTTTCAAAAAGATGAGTTGTTTATTAGATGAACTTGATTTGATTGTCTTTTCTCTGGAAGTCAAATTGATATTATGAATAGTGTCAATGATGAAACATATGCTTAGACTGAGTATGTTCCATGTCAAAATTTCATAACGATCGATAATTGATTTTACCTATTTTTGTTTCCCAAGAGTAAAACAAACGCGCAGCAAATAATATAAGAGAAAAGAGAAGAACATAAAATAACAAACAAAAGAAGTCCTATTCCAAATGTATAAACTTCTCAAGTGGTTCCATAAATTTTGTTTCAAAATTCATCATACTAAAACGATCGACACTTTCACGTGCGCGTTCCCGTATCTGTTGCCGTCCATCTGGCTTCATTTCTAATATATGTCGCATCGTTGTCGCATACGAATCAATATCCGACGCGAGAAAACCGGTTTGTCCTTCATCGATAATATCCATTTTCGGACCGCCAGATTTATGGGCGAGAACAATAGCACCAGCTGCCATCATCTCTACAACGCCTAGAAAGAAAAGTTCCGATGATGATTGAGATCTGAAGAAAAAAAAACGGTTTTAACCAACCAATTCCAAAATGTTCATTCCACATGGTGTGCAATCCAACCAAGGCTTTGTTCAAATGAGTCTTCAGTTCGTTGAAACTGATGTTTAATTTGAAATCAACTTCTTCAACGATATTTAAATTTTCAACAAGTGTTTGTAGTTGTTCAACACGTTGCTTGTCATCCTCGTGTCGAACACTGCCAATCAAGATTAATCGTAGTTTTTGTCGATGTTCAGGGATTCTAAACAATCACATAGAGAAGAATGTGAAATTGCACAAAACTACCTTTGTAAAAGTTCGTGAAACGATCGAATTTGTAATTCGTGATCTTTTTCGGGTCGAAACTGTCCTACGGACACAAATGTTTTCACAATTTGTTCATTATCGTCAACTAACGGCATTGATAAAAATGGTTTTACATCACACGGTGGATAAACTAGATGAATAGAACGTGCGGGTAATGCCCAAATACGTTCAATATGTCCTTGGGTCCACGATGAGTTACAATAAGCCATTTGTGCACATTTACCACACCATCCATACAAATATGCAAATAGGCGATAATACGTAAGTTTAATTTTACTAACACTTGAACTATTAGCAATTAAACCGCGGTTGTTGTAAGTCGGACGACGTTCTCGAACTTGTTCAAGCATATCGGTACTTATCGTTGGATAATGAACGTAAGCAAAGACCGGTACTGATGTTAAGTAATGAAACAGTGGGTAAGTAAAAGCGTAACCCATGGAATCTATGTAAATATCAGGAATAAAACGTACCATGGCTTCTAAACCTAAGATCATCGAGCCGATACTTTGTCCTAACAAAGTAAACATTTTGTAGTATTTAGCTTCGACGAAAAAGCGACTTCGAAGGTAAATAAATGTTATGGATGGTTTATAGACTTGCATGTTCATATCGAAACGTTGTTTTACACGATGAAGAATATCTTCCGGAGTGGCATTTGTATCACCTGTATAAATGATTACTTGGATATTATTTTTATATTTTTTAAGAATTGATTCAATTGCACTCCATAGGACACGTTCACCGCCGCCACCATCATTACAATATGGATGGAAGAAAGCTATGCTTAAACGACATTGTCGATCATTTCTTGTCCATGAACGACATTGGTTTCGACGCCATGGTATAAAAACGAATTTAAAAATCGGAATTACTGCCAATACCCATGCGATAATTGTGATGATGAACCAAATCATGAATGTTGTTACACAGAGATTGAAAAGAAAGAATGTAAATGCTGACAGAAGTATCAAATTAATCAATATAAAGCCCCAAACGACAAATAGCGTTGCTTGTAGTGTCGATTTCAAAGCTAACGGCATGAGGAGATCTTTAGTAAATAATGCCGAGACAATTTCATAAAATAACAGATAAAAACGCACTTTTCACGTGTATATTGAACATTGAATGTAGATGGCGCTGCAAACATTTTTTTTTTTAAGAAACTTTTTTCCTCAATGGAAAATCCAAAACAAAGAATTTCGAATAATTGAAAATTTTCTTTTATATAAAACGGAAATGTTCGTTTTGTCATAGTAATGATATTTTATTGTTGGAATGTGTCGACCAATTATCCTAGCTGCCAAAATTTCTTTGTGTCCTTTCGTCGCCGCCGTCTTGTCTTGTTTTTTTTGTCCTCGCCAATGATCTGTAAGGTATACCACTAATTTTCGACTACCACAAGGAGAATTCTCGCTGTTTTGTCTCTAGACGAATTGCCTTATGACAATAAGAACTCACAAAAATGTTTAGTCGTTCATCATCTGCCTGATATGTTATTACTTGTCGAGTCAGAAAACGAGAATGGATGATGACTCCATTCATAACTTTCTGTATAACATTAGATAGGTTCTCATAAATAAATCACTCACGCTCATCTTTGTTTTTATTGTCTGAAAACAATCGTTCATGTTACCTGTCTATTTCCTTGTCAGAGTCGATTGTGGTTTTTCCTCTTAGTTACACATCTGAACTTAATCTACTCTCAGGTTTCACGTTATTATATCAGACGATGCCGAAAGAATGTTCATCTGGGTAGCATCAGAGAAACGATCGATAAGCTTGACATATAATACACGCACAAGTATTATTGTTGATCGATCGTTCTGGAATAACATTATCGTTTTAACTGTTCATTCTACAAGTGCTATCCATTAACGATTCGCATTTACAGCTGTGTGCTATGTTCTTCTTCTTTATCTTCCAATTACGCTAAATTATGGAAATGAATGACAAGAAAAAGAAAATTTTTCTTCTCGTGTCGTATATAAGTAATTATTTTTATCTTTTGTCGTTATTTGTTCTGGTCCATTCTTGTTAGTTTATCATAGACTGCTGTTCTGTATTTTGACCCCGCCTAGAGGTGTTGCCCTCAATCGTCTTTTTCTTCCTCTATTGTGCCCGATCGATGTCGTTCAATCTGTTTCTTCATCGTTCTCTATTCGCGCGTACAAGCGATGGAGAAGAAGGCGACGAAGAAGAACATTTGCCTTTTCTTTCTCATTCCAATCTTGAATGAATAGTATTTCTATCTAAGTAGGAAGAACATTTGATTTGCTTTTGTTTTAAGATAATCTTGTTCTATCGGTCGAACAATGTCGCATGTGTTTCCTTTCTTTTCTTTTTCTTTTTAAGAGAAGATGAAAGAACGACATTGAATGAACTATCAAACATCATCATGTTAATCAAAATTCAACAATGGACAATCACAATCAGATCACGTGAGTGTCTATATCTTTTTTGTCGATCGATAACTATTTCGTGATGTGAATTAGATGATTGAATTTGATTCTTCGTTTTCTTTCTTATTTGTCATTTCAACAAACGTACAATTATCGATCGTCTCAAGATGGTCAGTGTCGATAGAAAGAGAGAGAGAGAGAGAGAGAGAGAAGACACCGAGTGACCTTCTTTTCTTATGAGGATTAAATAAAATGAATTCAAGCCGATTTGTTTTCCCTTTTGATCAACAAATTCCATGTGTGTCTACACATTCCCATAGACGATGTGATCCGTAGGCATATTTGTCGAATGTGTCTATGATGATGTTAGTGGTATTCTATGCTTATCAATCTCGAGATGAAAAACAGCCGATATAAACATACATATGTTGAATAGAAATGACAGTGTTTACGTGATGTATGCAATATAAGATGAACATATTTGATTTTCTTTCAAGTTATTTTATTTGACAGAGGAAATTGATGAATTTAGATTGTTGTTTTATATAATCGAGGAATGTATTGAAATGACGATGATGACGTAAGAATTGCTTTCATTTACTTTTCTCTCAAGGAATATTAATTATTAAAGTTTCGAATCTATTGATAAATATTGATAGAAAGTGATAGTTAATTACTACACTTAAAAAAACATTAGACACTCTACTATGATCGATTGGTTATTCTTCTATAGGATACCGTACAGATCGAGCGTGTGCTAAGGACTGTTCACAATTCATATAATGACTTTTTAATCATCATGCTGAAAGAGATATTCTCTTCGAATTTTCGTGATGATTTTTACTAAGAGAGGAAGATGTATTTGTTTTGACTGTGATTATTGATGAATGAGTCTAGTTCATCCGGTAGAAGATAAGACTTTTCGCTACAATGACAATGCCATAGGGTTAGAATAACTTCAAAGAAATTCATATGATTTATTTCCTCTTTCTTAAATGAGATTTCAATTTCATGAGAAAAATACATCACCTGTCTTCTCGTTTCTTCGATCGCGAGTCATCATCTTCCCAAAAATGAAATTTGCTCATACAATTTCTAACTGTTCGCATTCATCAGAGTAACTGTTTGTATATATATATTATTCAGATATGATTATGCAAGTATCTAATATATGCATTTATGTATGTCATTTTAGTTTTACATTATACGAATCACTTCTAACTGGTCATATGAAATTCTTCGTCTTACTATTTACTTCCTATTTTATATTAGCAATCGTTCCTGTCACTGTACATAGTCAATCAGTAACATGCTCATGCAATCTCGATGGAACTGGCATGACGATGGTTTGTACCAATGTTGAGTCCCTTGTTGCGTATCAACGATGTGTACATGAACAATTAAGTATTCAATCAGATTTAAAGTTACGTCGAGGTGGTGTTATCACAAATCTAACGATTGTAAACCATAAATTACGTAGTTTATCTGATGGTTTACTTCAATTCTCTTATGGAAATAACAATGTTTATCAATTGAATGATTTACGATATTTGTATATAACACGAGGTGTTTTAAGACAAATCGATAATGGAGCTTTAGCATCGATTGCACGTGCTATTGAATATTTGGATTTATCATCGAATGAGTTACAATACATGCCACATGATGGCAATGATCAATTTAATAATCTGATGTGAGTATTTCAACAGTAGAGAAAGAGATTTTTCAATGATCGGATTTTGATCGTTTTAGAAAACTTGTTCTTTCAAACAACCAAATTCATCGTTTGGCGTTATCAGATGTTCGAGCGTATCAACGTTTACAACAACTTGATCTATCATTCAATCGTTTACAATATGTCGATATGTCTATTGTCGGTCAATTGAAGAATCTCAAACAATTATTTCTCAATTCGAATATGTTACGAACATTAACCAATAACATAACATTTCCAAATAATTTCTACTTGAAATTAAGTTCGAATCCACTGGAATGTGATTGTCGTCTTCGATGGTTGCGTAATGCGTTGAATCGTGTAGAATATCCGATTTATCACGATGATCCACAATGTGAAATGCCAAAAGCTTTAGCCGATAAAAAAATTGCTTCGTTATTAGAAGCACAATTTGTTTGTGGACCATTGATATCGAAACCTGATTTGACACTTTTAACGGCTTCAATTGGCGAAATGGCGACACTTCGATGTGACGTAAGTCGATTCGACTGTTCCAAATTGAAAATCACACTGATGTTTTCATCTTTTAGGTTTATTCAGATCCTGCCCCAGAGATCTGGTGGACATTTCAGAATAAAATTATCGGCAAAATTATATCTGCTGTCAATGAACCTGATATTCATTCCGGATCCTATACAATCCGTTATTCATGTTTATCGTCCTATTCGGAACCATCGTCTTCGAACTGTTTGAATAAGACAACAACACTAACCATATCAAATATTGAATCTGAACACAATGGAACGTATAATTGTGTTGCAGCAATACGTAATCAAGGACGTTCAGATAACGAATATCTCTCCTATGAATTACGCGTTCGTCGTTCAGCAGGTTTCACGGAGGGTTCGTTTTTAATTTGGACAATCGGAATATTTCTATTATTATTTATCGTTATACTTCTTTTACTTTGTGTTTGCTGGATTATACGTTGTCATCGTGCAAATCAACAGCAAGCACAACGGAATAAAGCTTTGTTATTCGATGTTCATCAACAAAATGGTTCATTGATACCCAATGGACACCATTACGAAGACAAGAATGATGAACAGCATAGTTTTGTTACAAATGGTAGTTATGATCCATATGATATGATTGATTCCAGATCGCAACTGGGTCCACCCATGTACAGTGAAGTACGAATGGTTGATTCAACACCGTTGAGAAGCATCGGTGGTGGATCAATGTCATCCTCGATACCATTGCACGATACAGCAACATTAATGCGTCGTCATCATGCACATGATCCAGTGTATGACAGTTATCGATCGGATCGACAACTCTATGAACAAGTATGAAACAAATTTAGATGTAAAGACGAAGATGTTTTTCATCTGATTTTTTTTAGATCTATCGACCTTCACCGATGGAACCAGTTATTGTTGATGAATTCGAAGATGAAATGATATTTCCAACAGGTTATGACGAAGATTACGAATATCGTGAAGATATTATGAAACCAAATCAAGCTGTCGATCCAAGACGGCAGCCTAAACAACAACCTACTAATCATGATAGATTAGGTAAAACAATTGTGTTGCCACATGCTCCAATTCCACCACCAGCATCTTCCATGACAAATGGTCATCATAAATCTAATCAAAAACTAACTATTACACCTAATCATAATCATCTACCACAGCAAATGGTCAATTCGTCAAGTTTTGATTCGAACTATAAATTCGATAGATCTGAGTCTCAATATGCAGGTCTAGTTGAATCACAACTTTAGTAAATTCAAATTTATATGCATTTGAACAGTGTTTCTTCTTCATCTTGATATAATCATCTGAACTTATGTTCAATAATGCATTTGTTTTTCTTTCTTCTCTTTTGTGCTTCAAGCAGATCACAACATCCATTGTTTTTGTTCTCATTCGAAAGCGATCAAGATTATTTTGTCAGATATGTACTTAGTCATCTAAGGTTTTCCTCTCTCTCACTTCATATCAATATATATTTTTGTGTGTACATCTTCTCTTGGTCTCTAATTCTTCAATGACTTTCTTTCTTATTCTCATTCTCACCTGTTCTTATTATTACTACCACTATTATTACTATTGTTGTTGTTGTTATTGTTGTTGTTTGATTCGATTTACTTGTTTTCCTTCCTTTATGCCAAACAAATAATCAACTTTAATGTCATTTGAATTCATACGAAAAAAAAAATACAAGGAATTTTAAAGAACAATTGAATTTTTCTTTTTGCAATCGTATTGATAGTATTCAACATTTTGACAGCTAGAATATTTTGGAAATTGGAAATTTTCATCTCGTTATCTATGTTTCAGAGGCAAATAGTCCATGGAAATCGCTCCACCCGTTTATTCGAATATTGAACTTATATGTCAAGGTGCTGAAGCACGCTTATTTCGATGTTTATACTTCGGTCGTCGTGCTATACTGAAAGAACGTTTTGTTAAAACCTATCGTCATCTAGATCTTGATAGTCATATAACACTTCAACGTCTCAAAGGTGAAGTGCGATTGTTAACTCGTGCTAAACAATTAGGTATTCACACTCCTACAATCTATCATATCGATTGGAATAAACGAACGATTGTTATGGAAGATCTACACGATGCTCGCACAGTGAAATCTATTATTGATGCATTAATTCAAGAGAACAATACAACTAAACTAGAAACATTAGCACAACAGATTGGTTCAACTATTGGTCGTCTTCATCAAGCACAAATTGTACATGGAGATTTGACCACATCAAATATGTTATTAACAGAAAATGATCAATTATATTTGATCGATTTTGGTTTGAGTGCGCATGTGCCGAATAAGACTCAAATGCTCGAAGCACTTGCAGTTGATCTGTATGTTTTAGAGCGGGCAATTATTTGTACGCATCAAAAAGCAAAACATTTCTTTTCAAATATCCTTATGGCATACAGAAGTTCGATTCTAGATGAAAAACAGCGTACACTAACAATGAATAAATATGAAGAAGTTCGTGCACGAGGACGAAAACGTAGTATGGTTGGTTAAATCTTTCCAGCACGATCTAAAATTGAAATAAAGAAAAGTTTTGTGTTATGGGATGTGTTTTTGTTCTTTTCTAATTAAGATTTACAAATAAACATACCGAGAATAAAGTATAAACACATGGCAAGGAGACCAAGGAGAAGGAGAATACTGAAGATAATACAAATCCATGCCCAACATGGACAATCAGCATTTAAACCTAATGCACGAATTAGATTAAACGAACTTGTTGCTTGCTCATTCGTTGTTGTGTAAACACTTTTATCCAGTTCAGGTGAAACCTAGATTTTGATTGATAGAGAAAGGTTTTTCTTTGAATATGAGTTTACTGTATAGATGTCTCGATTTGAAGCGATGGGTGGTGCTTTTCGATCAGGCATGAATACTGTTTCTTTAATAATCGGCCGCTTCACTGTCGGCTATACACAGAAGAATAATCGTGGAAAAACTTTATGGGAATAGCTTTTCGAATTACTTGAATTGGTTTCTCGTAGCTCGCATCTTTGTAATAAATTGTTTCATCAAAAAACTCGTTTCTACCTTGTTTGCGAACCTAAACAACGATTTAGATTAAAAACCAACGACTCTCTCAACATCCGTACTTGATAGTTTGGATTTGGATCTTGGGTGAAACCGCTGGCAATGGGCATGTTTTCTGATGTAATTCAACTCGTCTGTTTGGTATTGTGAAATCAACAAAATGATATGTTAACGTTCGCTTTTTTTTAATCAATCATATCTTGATCTTGATTTTTACATATGATGAAATCTGAGTTGTAACTTCCAATAATTAACGTAGGTGTCTATGTACATCTCGAATATCTTCGGCGCACTTAACGATTCAAATAGAAACGAAAAAAAAAGGATATTTGTTTTTTTCATTCTAGTTCATCCATGATTGATATGAATATATATTTCAAATAGAATCAAAATTCAATAGCAAGGACACATACGAATCAAAATAGATTTTTGTCGAATAAAATCCATTGTCTAGGTGATGTTTGGCAGTAACTAAAAATACATATTGGAATAAAATCAATATCTACACAAAAACAAAATCAATGATCCCACGCATTTGTTCTATGATAAGCTAATACTTAAACCAAGTTAAGTTTTTCTTCACTTTTAATGATCCTTTGAAAGTTGATAGTAGCTTATATAAGTCAAAATACGGCCATACAATCAATCAATTATCAAAATATCGAATGATGTTTTCGTACCTGTTTTGTTCTGTTGTACTCACAATCCTTATGGGATCCACTAAAGGATATCTCAAAGAACACGTGACCATCTTCTAAATAGCCTCTAGGTACAGTTTTTGGTCAATTCTTCTATTAATCCTATTCATCAAGTGTACGAATGTTAATTCTACTAACACAGATGTTCTTTTTAATTTGAAAAATAGCCGATTTGCTATAAAATACCCGTGTAAAACAAGTTTCCTTCCCATTACTATCGAAAGTATAACTCAAAAGACAATGTTGACTCCATTCTTTGCGTGTTTCATATTGAATCTGGTCGTTGTTTCTCAACAACAATGTTAGTATCATTCATAAGTTATCCTTAGTAGATAGTTTCTTGTTCCCACAACTACTTTTTTATGTTTTTCACTAGCGAACAACTTGATTCTTGGCTTTGGTGATTCGTACACAAGTGGTGGTGGTGGATCAGGATCCTATCCAATTGTCGCTGGTAAACTACTCAATTGGCAGGCAAAGAATTTTGCCGTCGGTGGATCCAAAATGAACAACATACCGGCACAATTAGCAAAGGCTGGAGCTGTATTGAACAATGCTACTCACATTGTTTTTACCACTGGTGGCAATGATTTAGGCGTAGCCAGTTCACTTCAAGCAATCATAATAAACAACAACTATCCTGCTGTAGCAGACAAAACAATATCCCTTAAACCGCAACTTGTGTCCACTTACAAGTTAATCAAAGCATCAGTTCGTCCAAGCACTAAAATCTATGCTTTGCCCTATGTTGACTTCATCAGTCGCGGCAATAAAATTCCTAATGAATACGACGCACATCGTTTGATGGACCTCTTATCAGATACAGTGAAAGCTGCTGCAGAAGAAGCTGGTATTGGATTCATTGAAGCAGTAAAGACCGCTTTTGCTGGCCATGAAATGTATTCTACTGATCCTTACTCTGCCGGTTTAAGTGGATCTGGTGCTGCACATCCTAATGCAAAGGGTTATTCGAGAATCGGTGAAGTTGTGGCTGACTACATTAAAAAGAACTAATAATTCACAGAAGATGAACTATTGATGACAACAAAAAGGTGACTATCCATTTTCGAGGCTGTTCGTTTTCATTGTTACTTGTAATAAAGTCAATAGTTAAAACACATAGTTCATACAAGTATCGGTTCATTACAAAACCAAATTTTTGTTACGACTGAAAGAATGAAAAGAAATGTTGTATACGATGCGTATATTGATGATGATACACTAAATGCTGGTTTTTTATCCAAATATCGAAGAATAACATCAGGATGGTCAGTTATAAAACCATCAACATCAACTGTGTGCCAGAAATAATCAAGAAATTCTTCAAAATTTTGACCAGGAAATAGATCACGTCGAAATGTAAAGGGGTAAACTGCAAGACCATAGTCATGCGCCCATGTTGTCAAGTTAGTCACACCTAACAGTGCACCATGGGAATCAAAATTGACCAGAAATTCATAGAAAGGCGCAATCGCTTGAACAACGCTCGAGATGTTTCCGATACCTTCTCTACTTCGATAAAAATCGTAGTCACTCGATGATTCATTGATACGATTCCAAACCATCAACGCAAATAAACGTAATTCACTGTGAAGATTTCGGCGAATATGAACTAATTCTTCAATGTGAAATGTCTGAATGATGACAGGGTCAGTAAACTTTGTTAAGTTATATGCATTCAATGTTGCTAACACAATCGATGAGATAGATTTGTTATGCTGACTATGATATTCAGGTTTCTTAATTTCGATAAGAAGTTCACGTCGTCGTCGAGTTGCCTGATTGAGACCCAGTAATAACTCAATTGATTCATTTAGAGTCGCAAGACGAAAAGTAACGTTTGCATTTGATGGAAATCGCGATGGAAAGCGTTGAGTACCATTGAATGGTATTGTACGTTCATGAATACTCAGACGATGCAGTTCTTCAAGAGTAAAATCAATCACATAATGAAGACCATCGGATCGATTTCGACCAGGATACATCTCAGCGACATTACTGATTGCATCCAAATAGATATCTATTCGAATATAAATACATACGGACAACTACTGCTTACGCTTCACGAAACTCCTACCGTGAATAACAATTAGTTGGTCGTCTTGACTGAGACAAACATCGATTTCAACCATATCTGCGCCGTATGCATAGCCCATAGCTTGTGCAGCCAGAGTCAGTTCAGGTAGATAAGCTGTACCACGATGACCGACCACCAATGGTCGAAACGCACTCTGAACATTATTCAAAGTACAGCAAAACAGTAGGACACTGAAACACAACTGAAATACCATCATGAATGATAGCGAATGTCAAATCTGAGAAGATTATATTTAATGCCGTTCGTGCTAGACATTTTCTTTATGAAAATAACCGTATCTGTTTTATGTAAAACTATACCCCTAGTTGATGTTATTGATGAGAATGATATTTAAACAACACAAGCCATCCTCTGGGCTTATCATGGCTGTACTTAGAATAGAAAAACTTCTCGCAGCCCTTGATTACTATAGATATCATATACTGTTAATTATTCTGTCATTTTCTTTCTCAATTATTTTTGAGCCCATTTGTGGACCACAACTCGAGTATACGGTTATAGATATTTTATGTGTAACAGAATTCTATAATAAAAATAATTTGAGTTCGTTTATTGAAGGAGAGATAATATATTTATTACAGTACAGTGTATTGATACAAAAAAGATGGTTTAAAGCATTTAGAAGCATACAAAGACAGGTTCACAACAGAACAGGCAAGCTTTTACTTTCAAAAACTTTTCTGGCAAGTAAATACATCATGCAGTTCTCGTCATGAAGATGATGTTCTAAAATAATCTAATTAGCAATAAGAGGACAAACAAACAGTTGAGTTACTTACGGCGATTATCATATCCCAGGTTGAGCAATCCGGCACGGAAACCTTCATTGATAATGAAGGCTTAATTATTATTGAGGGTGACTCATAAACTCCCAGATTACTTTTGAGCTAAATTATTAACTGTTCACATAATCAACACCTGGATGCGTCTAGAAAAATATTTAGTTTTTTCTTTTCAAAGCCGATACCATAAGATGCTTTATTCGTCGGCTTATCAATCCATATAATGCTTTCGGCAAAGAATATTCATTACGACAGGGTGTTGTGTACTGGAACAAAACTTCTTCAATAAAACACAATTATATCTTTGTTTCGCCGGTCGAATAAGAGAAGGCAATATCACATATTCGAATTATATAAACAGGTAAATACCCAGGTCATTACAGCTTGGTCGGAATCCACAAAAAATGTGCCGAAGCTGGCTCATATTTAAAAGCATCCAGTCGCTGCAACGATCGACCTGGGTAGTCGAAGTATTTAATCGTAGACAGAATAATCTATCACACGAAGCCAAACATATAAAACCGCTGTTTGAAATAGTTTCATCACTATTTATCATATTATTTTCATTAAGTAGTGCGAGTAATGAGTAGAAATCTGTTTATACTACGTTTATATTTCTTCAGTGGATATCTAAAAACAATTAGAAATAGTTATCTGGTTGTGAAACATATGCACAGGCAATCTCTGTTAAAAACAATACTGGTGTAACGACAAACTGGTTGAGTAGCTAGCCGCTTCTCACGGTATAGATGTTTATTGACCACTCTACATGACCAGAATGTCCCTATTTCACAATAAGACATGCACTTATATAGAGAAGAGAAAAGAGAGAGATGACCCGGAGATAGTATGATATAGAGGTGAGAGAATAAAGAACAGAAAGAGATGAACGATATCATTATCGTTATAACTGGTACTTACTGAGTTCGTTGAATAATTGTGTAAATTTTGTTTTGTATTCAGGAGGATAAAATCCATCCCAAAATCGAATCGCTCTAGAGTCTTTCGCACATTTCATAGAAAGAATAAAGCTCGTCAGTTTCGTACGGCATCCATGCAATTCTGAAAGCATACCAAACGATGACGCGTCGACACAGATCACCGAAGACAAAGTGTTTTCATTATCATATAAATAACGATAGTATAAAGGCTCATCTTAGCATTAAACTAGTCCATAGCATTGGTATTTTGGAACTTTTGATTAGTTCATTTAAGTTAACAATCGAATGAGGCAGCAGGAACGAAAAGGATGCACGTGGAATAAAATTAACAAGTGACTCTTCTCTTTGTAACTATGATCAACATACTTCAATATAGTGAACGGCGAGTTTGTTACACTAAGGCAGCAATTAGAATATATATTTGTTTCTACTGATTTAATTAAACTGAGTAAGATGGAAGAATTTACTTCGTGAAGTCATTTTTTTAGGAAAATCAATACTTTTTCTGAAGAGATCCATTACTCTTCTCTATCTGCACCATCTGATTGTACACGTCGTCCTCTCTTCAGCCTAATTTTTTTAATAGAACGGCCTTAGAAAAATTGGGTATCGGTTGAGAACAATATGTTACATGTTCTGTAAATTAGAATATGTAGCTCCTATTGAGAAATTTTCTGTATAATATACTTTATTGAACCTCACTGGAAACAAAAATGATGTTGGACGAAATTATTTTTTCACGAAACTCGAAATCATTTTAGACCCAGGTCAACCAATCACATACTCGGATCCAATATTGGATTTTCTTAGAGTTATAATGGATTATGGCTATATAGAACGCTCATAAAATTTGCAACAAATGACAGGATTTTTTCAGTCGGAATCTAATGCAGATTCGTCACCAGGAACATGATCGGATTTGTCGATTTGAGTAAAAGAACACGTTGAAAAGATTTTTTTCTACGACACTCTTTTCGATCTAAATTAAAGCCAGTTTTGTTTCCAGTGTTTAAGTCTATTTTTGATCATCATAGTACGTTCAACCTTCAACTGTGTAATATGATGGTTAAGCTTGGTATTATAACGAAACTCAGAGTTAGGTGTTATGTAGCAAGTCATAGATCTGAGAGAATATTTAAAAAATCTTTCTCATGTGACTGGAAATTCGTGCTGAAAATATCCCTCTTATTATATAGCCAAGAAGAAAGTTGATAAATGTTATAAAAATTATTTTCAGTACGGTATGGATGATGTTTATAAAGAGTTCATTTCAATAAAATAGAATGTAAGGTAGAATTGTCAGTGGAGAGAAAAGACTCGCATTTTGCTCTGGTCTGAGCTATTACTATAGAAAATTCACTGCCATTCCCACTATGTCGAATTGACATGGTCTTGAAAGATAGCCTTGACATGTAATTCAAGAACAGCTTCACCAAGTTTTGATAGTATTTCAAAAAGACGAACATCAGTAATGAAACGGCGTACAAAGTTTTTCACGACAAATATTTTGCAAAGATGTGAGATGTTTGTTAACAGTACCATTTGAACGGCGATATTTGCGAAGAGATATTTCAGTTCAATAAGATCAAACAAATCAGAAGAAGTCACTGCATGAGCATTGGCCATTTTTGAAAAAATGATGAATTCTATTTGTATCACGCGCAACAATTTCGCATTGACGAATCTTAGCAATGAGTTTTATTGCGTTGTCTGCAAAGAGAAAGACGATTTCCAAGAAAATAATTCACGTAATAACTTACGACAATCTCCACATATGCGCAGATTTTCCGTTAATTGAATACGCGACGTATTTGGTTTTAAAACAAAGTTCCAAGCGATTGCAAGTCTCTCGCTATGTCCGCAAAGTACTGATGCAACTGTTTCATCTTGATTAATTGGTCGTGTGATCCAACTAGCATTGTACTGGTGCCCGTGTTGTACAAGTTCATTTGAGATATTTTCAATTTCATTATAAATTTCTCTAGATCGATGATGAGATTGATCATGTGCTCGAAATTTCTACAAGCAATGATAGATTTCGTAGTCGAAAAAGGTATTATTCTAACTTACGTAAATATTTCCATCGATGACAGTCCATGTGAGACCAATTTTTTTCTTCATACCGGATCGATTTAGCTCATCTCTAATGTCTGATACTTTCTCGAAATCACCAACGGATCCATAAACGTTAGCAAGAAGAATCGCAGCTGATGTTATCGGATCTGATAATTGAGGGAAAATCTTTCTCATACGATTGAAAATTTCTTGCGATAAATGATGATTTTTTGCGTTTCGAACACCCGACAACAATGCCACTAAAGAGAAATAACGTATATGCGAATTTTGCATTCGTAGAAAGAAGTATATTCTATTGAAATGTGAATATCAATATGTACGTTTCGAGTTTTTCATGATAAAATATACATTTTTCTTGAATTACATATAAGAAAAATGAATATTTTCATGCAATAATATTTACAATACATAGGTGCCGAAGGTAAATTAGACGATTCATATTCATTGATTAATTGTTGAGCTTCCATGTGAAAAAACGATCGACTTAGACAATCAATCTATAGAGAAAATCATGAGAATCCTTCGAAACTGTATGTAGATTTTGTTTTACCATAACCGTATATATTCTCTCGGTTTTCATTTCAATTTTCTCAAAAATCGAGACAGCTTTATCAACAAGTCCACTATGCGAGCATGCATTCAAAATACAAATATAAGTGACTTCGTTGATGAATCTATCAGGAATTTGTTCATAGAGTTCAATTGCTTGTGAACCTTTTCCATTTAAACCATAAGCATTAACTATTGAATAAAATATTTTCTGACAGTTTTAAAAAGACTCATTAACACTTACTCATTGCTGCATATCCAATAGTACTTGGTTGAGAAAGTTTTTTGAAAATTTCCTCTGCTTGCTCAACACAACCACTCTTTCCCTATTTATTGAAAAATGAAATAGACTACTGGCAAAAAATCATAATTTTGTTTCTTAGCTTACCCACATATGAATCAATGTATTATGTATTTGACCATCAATCAAGCAAGATTCAGGGATTTGTGCAGCAATTGATTGGGACAATTCAGAATCGCCAATATGAGCTACACCGCTTACGATAGAAGTCCAAATGATATGATCAATTTCAATATGATTCAATTTCATATCAGAAAATAAATTTAATATTTTAAACGAGTCATTCTCTTTTAGATACGCATTAATCATAACTTTATACATTGATGAAGTTTTCTTTGATAACCGATTAAATAAATTCTCCGCATAATTTAGATCTCTACATTTAACCAATGCATCCAGCAATGATGTTAAAACACGAAAATCTGAACTGAGTAATTTTGAATTCTCTTTCAAATATTTCTTAATCACAGTCAACACTTCGTCCGTCTTCAATTGAGCACATGCGTTAAAGAACAGATTCAAAACGCTGTCACTTGGGTTGTCGATCTCTTTGAAAAGTTCAACAGCTTTTTGTTCCATTTGATTCTCGATATATCCTAAAGAAAATTTTCTTTTCATGAAGAGATAAAATTTTCTTTCCTTTATCACCTTTCATCAAGGCACCATACATCGGTAAGATCTTCTTTTCTAATGACTGAAATAATCTTTCTGCTTCTGCTATATCGCCACACTTGGCTAATGCATCCAGCAACGATGTTGAAAGATAAGAACTTGATTGAAGTTTATCTTGAATATTGTGAAAAATTCGTTTTGTTAGTGCTAATGCTTGCTCGGTTTTTAGCTGAGCGCATGCATTCAATGCGAGAACATATATTGTTTCATCAGGATGTTCAATTTGATCATATAATTCAATAACTTTACTTGCTTGATGATTTGTGAGATAACCTGACATCGAATATAGTTAATTTTGTATGAAATCAAAGGTTTTATATCATATTTACCCTTCATAAGGGAACCGAACATGGGTAAAGTCTTCTCCTTTGACATTCGAAATAACTCTTCAGCTTTCGTTACTTGATTACATTGCACTTTGAAAGCAAGAAACCTAACATTCAACAATTTCTTTTTCTTTTGAATATTTACTGTAGAAGTGTATTAGAGATGTTAACAAATACGAATCTTTGTCCAATCGATTTGAAACAATACGATGAATCGTTATTCCACGCTGAAAATCCGGTAATCCAGCACATGATTTCAAAACTTGTGTAAAGACTAAACTGGATATTTTCTTCATATTCTTGTCATCACTCGTCTGTTCATCGAATAATCGAAGTGCTTTCTTAAATTGCTTATTGTTATTCATTAACTTCATTTGAGTAACTAAATTCCATTCCTTGTTTTGAATACTGATCGATCGTTTAATAAAATTATTCATATTTAACAGATGATAAGTATAGTTTATCGCAATGATGATCCTATACACTCTTATATCTATCTTTGGAACTTCTTTCTTTCGCCGATACATTAGAGTAATTGAAACCAATTATAAAAAGTCAGAGAAATAATTATCAGGGGTCGCCAGTTTTCGTAAGTTTCACAAGAAATTGCACGACGTGTCTTTCACGGGTCCAAACATCGGAAATAAATTGTTAAAAGCGAAAACTTGAATGTAACATACACGAAATTATCTGTTTCTGCTATATGTAAAACTAGACGATCAGTTAATATTATTATAGAAAATAATATTCAAAGATACAGGAAGAGTCGTCTGTGTTTATTATCATTGTAGATATCATTTAGTTCAGACTACACTATTATTTATTTTTATTTCGAAAGGAAATGGGAATATTTTTCATAATGTTATTAATGCAATGGACAAAATAAAAATACCAAAAGAGAAACTATGAAATTTGACTGCTTTGTTCAATTTTTGTGTTGATTCAATATATCGAATAACTCGATCCGGTTGATCAGTAAATAATCCATCAATTCGTAAAATATCAAGGAAAAATTGTAACATAACATCAAATGTGGCAAATAATGACGGGACAACGTCACTACGAAATGTATATGGATGAATGAGTAATTTATGCTTTCGTGCTTCGTAATATAATTCCGACGGTTGTAAAGTATTGCCTTGTTCATACAACTGTGCGTAATGTGGACCAATTGCATCAACGAATGTTGATAGATTGGCCATACCAATCCGACTTGTCCAATATGTATAATCAGTTTTACTGTATTCATCTCGTTCTCTATTATCCGTTAGGAGGGCAACAAGTTTCAAATCCGATCGTAACTCTGAACGAATACGTTTTAACTCATCTATATCGAAACATTGTAAATAAATATTGTCGGACCGTTTTGAATAGTTGTATTTTCGTAAAACTTCAAGAACAATCTCACTCATGTTGCGATGATCTTCCATGGCATGAAACGAAGGATTTTTAATTTCGACATAAGCACCTACTTGTCGTTTGTTATCGAGATTAGCTTTATTGAGGCCAGCAATAAATTCGAGTTCTTCAGCTAGAGTAACCAAATGAAATGTTGATTGATGAAGAGGGAAACGATTTGGGTATATTGGATTGCCTGTTTGATGATTGAAACGTTCGCTAGCGCGTAATTGCTTGATTTCTGCCAATGTAAAATCAATTAAATAAAAACGACCATCTGAGCGATTACGTCCAGGAAATACACTAGCCACATCACTGATTTCGTCCAAATAAATATCATGAATGACAATAGGTACATTATCCTTTGATAGAGCAACATCTTGTTCGAGATAGTCAACACCTTGACCATAAGCAAGAGCTTTGCAAGGTAATGTATGTTCTGGAAGATAACCAGATGCACCACGATGTCCAATAACTTCTATCGATGATGATTTCATACTTTTCACAACACTCAGCAAGATTAAAATACCAAACCTGTGAGTAGAAATAAATAATGAAGATGTCAATGTATTCAGTTGTACAAAACTCACCAAATATGCGATACCATCATTGTATTGGAAATTAGCCCTACAAGTAGAATAAATAGTATTAAATTCTCAATCTTAGTCGGCATTTTCCCAACGAATACATGAATAAGTACAGATATGTAAAAATCATCTACGAGGATGATACGACACGACCTACGTGTATGCCCATGCATCAATGTCACTGTAAACAGAAAAGAAAAGTTTTGTTCAGGGTCTATACAATTAACTGGAAAGAGAAAACTTTAAGAACATGTGAGAGCTGCACAGTGGAATTAACTATAGAATTTGTCGAGATAAATTTCGATATAAATCTCAATTTTCAAAAAAAAAATATCTATGTCGTATACACCTTGAGAATATCTGTATGATAAGAGAACTCTGTGATTTATAGCAGTTGAGAGAAAACATCCAGATCAAATAATATCTTAATGGATACGAAAAGAACAGATTTCTACTGATGGAGACAAGCGCTACATTCGTAATAAAAAATAATCGTTGTCTTTGAGGAAAGAGTATGATATCAGCTGAAGTACTAGCATTATGTCGATAGCGGTGATATTTTATATCGTATACAGAATATATTTCTTCTGGAATAGAAGAAAAGAAGCTCGCGGGAGTTTATGGATGCAAATATTTGTTGACATTTTCAAGTGAGAGACCTGAAAATTTCAATTTGACTTATGATCATCATCATATACAGTAGCTCGAAAGTGAAGCTATGATATCGATAATCGAAGATCACTATGATTCAAACGTAGAGCGGAACTAATGAAATGAAGCAATTATTTTGACTCACAGGGTATCTATTTCTTTTAATTTGATGGAAGTGACAACTCTGAAACTTTATTCTTGTCTAATAACGTGAGTGTTAACGAAAAAAAGAGGAAGTAAAGCATTTTGGGAAGCACAAGTCTGTTTGTCCTTTGGACTATCATCAGAAGATTGATAACTAGAATATGTGCATATATGTGTGACAGATGACGATGAAGTCGAACACATCCGTATTTTCGATTCCAAAATAAATACTGTAAGAAAGATTAAAATCTGATGTGTTTAGTCATATATGTAATATGAGACGACATTGTCTAGAAACGAACAAGGCATATAAATAGCACAATTTTAAAGTGAAAAGTTCATGCAATTTAGCTGACTAAATTAATAATCAATCATGTCAATCTACCTCGGTTTTCTTATTTTATGCTATACTTCTATCGGCCATAGTCTATCAGTGAGTTTCTTAAACTTTCTTTCTCCATTCGAAACTATTTTTCCGTACATTTAAAAGATGAATATGCTGATATCTAAGCCTGAACAAATCACAAACGGAAGTCAGACTGCCTATCGTGGTATAGATCTTAAATTACTCGGTGGCGGTTTTCAAGGCGATATGTTGTTTCATAAAAACTACAATCTTACCAAAAATGTTCGTGGTGTTGCTGTCTATGGTAATAACTATCGATGGCCGTACAATACTATTCCTTATGACATATCAGCAATCACAGGTTAGCAAACGTTTTGCATTACATTAGAAATCTTAAGTTGTGTTAAATTAAAATAGATATTCACCATCAAAAGATGGTCACTAACGCTATGCATATACTTATGTATGCTGTCGGTACGCCAATTAGTGGTTCTGAGGGCCGAGTACCTTGCGTTTATTTCCGGCCGCGTGGAGCTAACGATCAAGCGTATCTTAAAATCCAATATGGCACTGGATGCAGTGCTCATGTGAGTAGATGCTACTAAGATTGCAGTTTTCGTACAACAATGATCTTCAAACATATGTTATGAACATTATAGGTAGGATACATAAGTCATGGGCAATCAGAAATATACTTACAAAAAGACGGCTGTTTTGATACTGGTGTTATTCAACATGAGTTGATGCACATACTTGGTAAATTTTTATTTTTCATTTCAAAAGAAATCTTCCAATGAGTCCTTCGACAGGTTTTCATCATGAACAATGCCGACCAGATCGGGACAACTATGTCCAAATCAACTGGGAGAACATCGAAGATGGCCAAGTAAGCAAATTTAACAGTTATCCCTTTTCTCTAAATGATCATCTTGTGTTTTTCTTTGTTAAAGCAATAGTTTTGAGAAGTATGCATGGGGCTCGTCCGTATACAATCAAAACAGCATATATGACTATGCGAGTATCATGCATTATTTCGGAAATGCTTTCAGCAAAAATGGTAAACCAACAATGGTTCCACGAAAAGCCGGTGTTGTACTTCATGGTGCTAGCGTACTTAGTCCAACGGACATTTTTGAAGTTCGTCAACTATACAACTGCAAAAATGCATAGTAGAACGAAGTAATGCTGGAGACATCTATCGATGAAAATTTTTGCCCATTTTATTATTTTGATTACAAAAAAAGGCGGATTGAATACAGATGCCTGCTATTCTTTTATACTTCTGAATAAACAAAATGAAGGAGTAGTTTACATGTAGTTTTAATTCACGTACATTAATTGTTGGAACATGAATCATTCGCAGAAAGAAAGAAAGAAGGGCTACATGCGATCCTCCATTTTGCCCTTTCTTGCTCCTCCTCTCTTGTTTGTTTCTATATTATTGACATCACTCGTGCTCGCTATGACTTGTACTTTTATCATTTTGCATTTTGTCTATGATCAGTTTTTTTTCTTCCATTCTTTTCTTTGTATTCTCAAAAGCAGCGGACCGAATCAAGTTACACTTTGCTGACGAGAAAATAGTCTGAAAAATACTTTTTTTTTCTTTCTTCGCAGTTTTCTTTTTGCAATGCACGGTAGTATAGAAAAGGGTTGAAGGGCGAAGAAAGAAAAAAATTGATCGAACATACGAGAAAAAAACAGTTGCTCCTTAGACTAAAGTAACGCTCCGGCTGTCTGTGTTTCCTTCGTGATTTTGTTTTTCTTCTAATTTCTAATAGCCAGATTTGATTACTACTTTTGCTCTTCGTATAAATTAGATAAATTCATTTGTTTGACGAAGAAAAAACGCGCATACAATGGTGAAACTTCTTGTTTTTGCCATTTTACTGGCATCATCGCCAGCAACCGGCTTAATAGAATCACTATTCAATACGGAGAATAGCTGTTATACAGGCTGTCATTCCAATTATGCTGCCAATGCAATTCATTTAGAAGCTTGCAAAAAAGGTTTGTCTTAATTGTAAGAAAATATGACAAGATAAAGCAAATCTACCTTTGTTTCAGGTTGTGATTTAAAGTTACTCAATGAAGATTGTGCCACACAATGTAAATCATATTCGAAAGACGACAAAGTTCAAGCTAGCTGTCAAGTTGGCTGCACTTTGAGTCGTCCAGCCGGAGAAATCAACATCGAGAAGCCAAATCCAGCTCCGCTTATTGACCCAATTCCGGTAAGGATCAATGACATAATATCCATCAAAATTAACATTGCAATTCTAGGGATTTAAAATTCCACAAATCATCCCTATGGGTCCTGAGGGAGGTCGACCACGTTCAATTATTCTTATTCGNTTTGAGTCGTCCAGCCGGAGAAATCAACATCGAGAAGCCAAATCCAGCTCCGCTTATTGACCCAATTCCGGTAAGGATCAATGACATAATATCCATCAAAATTAACATTGCAATTCTAGGGATTTAAAATTCCACAAATCATCCCTATGGGTCCTGAGGGAGGTCGACCACGTTCAATTATTCTTATTCGTCTTCGTAATCGTCCATCATTAGAAATGCCATCGGCTCCAAGTCTCTTCAACGGTGACCCGATTCAAATGTTCAATGATATGATCCGACGATTCCAAGAAAAGACCAATCTTATTGAAGAATCCATTCGTAAATCCTTCGAAGAGAATGGTAAAGATCTCCCTAAATCACCAGAATTCGGTGCAGTTTCGAAATTAGTTCAAACAATCCCGATCGTTCGTGTCTCAAGCAACCTTCGGGTCGACTCATCGAGCGAATCAAGCGAAGAACCTCATGAGAAACGTCCATTCTTCAGCGAATTTCGCCATGTCATGCAACACCCACGTGAACATCAACAATTGATTCATGATCGCATGCGACCCGTTAGCAATCGCCTTCGACAATTCGTTGACAACATTCGTACTGAATGGAGCAATCTTGTTCGCCGACAACCTAAAATTCCCATTTGGATCTTTCTTGGCATTCTTCTCTCATCATCGGCTATTCTTTGGTGTAAGTACAGATAACATTGTTGTTTGTTTTATCGATAAGATATGTGAATATCTTTAGATATGGTTGTCTCACTTTGCCGTCATACACCATCACGCAATTTATCAGTTCGTGCTCAAGAACTTATCTACAATCCATATGAATACGATGGATTCGAAAAGGAAAAAATTCAACCTGATGATGAACCTTATCAAGTGACCGAATCATTACCTATCAAAGTTAAATTATCCAACATTTAAATTTGATTTATATTCTGTATATAACAGTTTATATAGAAGGAGGAAATTTATTGAGATCTGACTGATTATTAAAAACAAACTATACATTCTTCTTCTTTTCGTTTGCTTTTCTTTTCTTTTCCTTATTATATGCATTTTATTCACATGGAACCATCAAATACAACCGCGAAATCTTAGATACATATACATGTATACTTCATTCCAGCTCGTCCTGATTCTCCGTAGTTAGATTCGAATCTGCTACTTTTTTCGTGCTCTTCTACTATCTTTTTTCTCTTCAATTTCATCACATATACAAAAAAAAGTTCATGTCGATGCGTTACTTTTCTCTCATCTTGTTTTTATGCTCATATTATAAAATAAAAATCTCCAAAAAAAAAGTTCGTTTGTCATGATGAAGGTCGAACAGCTTCCTAGATTTATTTGTTTCTTTGAGAAGAATTAAAAGACATATAAATACACAACGAAAAAAACATAACTAGTTTAGACGAATAATACATGACGCTTGACAACAGATGACGAAGATGTGTACCGTAAAGAAAAAGAAAATTCATTCATTCTGTAAACAAATGAATGCACCAAAGAAGATTCCATTAGTTAACTGATTGAAAATCTGAGAAATATGGATGTTGTAGCGCATCCGCAGCTGATATTCGTTGACTTGGATTACAAATAAGACAACGCTACAAAGAGAAAACAAACTTAGGTTCGAGTTATTTCGAAAGATGGATTGATATTCACCAGTAAAAGATCTTTGCCTTTATTATTCAATTTTGGTACAAAGTGTATCAGTGACAGTGTTGGTTGATAGATTGAAAAAGGTTTATATTCAGGTAGAGCAGAGACGCCAGGCCAAGTTTCTTCAGTTGGTGTTCCGATAACTCTAGAAAAGTGTTTAAGTCTTTCGAGAAAATCAGTTCATTTCAAATTAACTCACTTGAATATTCTTCTCAATTGATCATCAACACTCTCGCCAGGAAACAATGGTTTTCCACCGTTGGCCAACTCTGCAAAGATACAACCAGCTGACCCTAGAAGAAAAATACAAAAAAGTATATCTATGCGTATTCTTCTAGAATATTTACAGATATCAATCGAAGTTGTGTAGATTTTTGCACCAAATAACACGTCCGGCGGTCGATACCAAAGTGTTACAACTTCTGATGAATAACATTTAACTGGAATGCCATAAGCTCGTGCTAAACCAAAATCAGCTAATTTCAGTTCTCCATTCTAAAACAAAAATCCAATAGGAGATTTCAAATGTTTTCAAAGTAGTAGAACAAGCCAAACAAACCTTTGTTAACAGTAAATTTTGTGGTTTAAGATCGCGATGGAGTACACTATGTTCATGACAAAACGATAGTCCTTGTAATAACTGCCAGAAAAAGGATTGTACTGTTTTCGGATCAATATCTCCGTTACATGAATCAAAATATTTCTTTAAATCTTGATCACAATATTCAAAGATAAGATTTAAGGTTTTTTCGGTATGAATAACATCTAATAATCTAAAGCATGAATAAAGCAAGATTATTCTTCGATTCTTAACGGTATTTTGGCTGACAGTGTATATATATATACCTGACTATGTTGGGATGACGTAATTCTCTTAGAAGACAAATTTCACGTAGAGCTGAGCTTGGAACACCCTAAATCAAATGAGATTTAAGCTGAAGTGAATATATTGACTTCAGAGAAAAGCAACTGACATCATCTTCATCATCTAATCGAACTTTTTTCAAAGCGACGATATCTTGTGTTAATAGACTTCGAGCCTTGTATACCGTTCCATAAGTACCTATATAATAATGATGTTTTATACGAAATAATTGAATTCTTCACTTACCTTCACCAATGCGTTCGATTTTCTCATATTTATCAGCTCGAGACATCTAAAATACGTATTAAAATTGATATACTTGGATTTAAAAAAAAAAGCAGATTAATTATCAAGTATGGAAAGAAATTCAGTCAAATCAAAAACGTTTGTAGCAGGTACAAAATCAAATAGATCGTTTGTCTGTTGAGGTTTGAGATTAGCATTGTATTTCGTGAATAAATAGTCATGATTAACCACTTGTGTCAAATTAACCAAATGACCCAATTCAAAGAGAAATGTTGTTGATAATTTGTCAATCATCGTTTGAACATCCAATCGATTAAATGTATTTTGCTCCGAAGAACTTAATTGTTTCAATAACTTTTGCTGAAAAAGAATTCGTGCTTTCTCTTGCGTTAATTCACTGTTGGCTAATGCATTCATCAGGACAAACCGTGCTTTGTTCAAGAACTCATTTCGCTGTCTTTCTGTTTCAATCCAAACCAAAGCTGCACTTTCTTGACTTTCCGCAATTTCGGTAAAGATCGGTTTCAACATTAATGTATACAACCGTTTGGTAATTTGCTGTGGTAAAGACACTTTGAAGATGTAAACAGCGTCAATATCAACAAAATACCCATTCGTACATGTTTGCGTGGCATTTGTACAATGTGTTAGCGACGAACAGGAATATTCGATCGTTTTCGAACATGTGTGAGTATGGCAACATGTTGGACAACAATCACCTGATAATGTTTGCTGCAGAGTACGAGCTAAGCGGTATTCGACATGTTCTCGACGTGCACGATAATCGTAAATGGAGAACTGATTACCGTGATTACGGAGAATGTTACTTGCAACATGTCGAAGAACTTCTTCGTGCTTATCGGCAAAATTTAACCAAATAGGTTCGATTTGGTCAGGTCTAAATATAACAAATGATCTCATTGCGAAAGTCGACGATGATGCGCCTACCTAATTCTATAAACAATGGTCGCATCAAGAATAACACTTGCTTGATCGGTAGTAAATATCGTTAAATCTTTGAAGTTTTGATATCGCGCTATTTTATCAAAGGTAATCATTCTTTGCCATGGTAAAATGAGATACACGCCAGCTGAGTACGGTTCTTTTAAGTTCATCACACCAGTGAAAAGGTTGTGTGTTACACCAAACTATACACATAGGAAATGTACAGGAGAAGTGAAGTATTCCGAGAAAATTTACTTCGTCATAATCGACACTTGTATAACCAAATAAAATCCATATGATTGTTAAAACTATCACAACAAGAAATATCACAAAAATTAGAATTGGTAAACGACGCGCTTGAGGATTATCGCGTGGAAATAAACTACAAATATGCGAATAGAAAGAATCCGAGAAAGAATAAGTTCTTACTCAGCCCAAAAATTTTGTGCCATCTGCCGAATGGCACCGTTTTGACGTCTTCTTGACCTATTCATCGATACGGAATCACGACGGCGACCGGCATTACTACTGCGACGTTGTCGAAGATCTGTTTCATCATCTGGTTCTGGTCGAAACTCCACTTGAGGTTCTGTATTGTCATCGGCAGAAGTCAACGACAACGGTGTTGCTGGAAATTTTCAGTCATAATCAACTAGTTGAACGTAGATAACTTACTTTCATCTATTTCTGACGGGAAAGGCGGAGGCTGTGTTGATGACGGTGCTTCGTCATTTGTCTGTAACAATGGTTCGTTCTAGGATTTGAAAAAGCAACTTTTAAGCAGATGAATAAATAATAGATATAGCTCATACTAATTCACGTAATTCGATTTCTTCCGGAGTCGCTGATGTTGAAAGATTCTGAAATATTCGTTATGCTGATTTTCTTGGGTAGAAGAAGTTCACTTACTTCAATCGATGTTAACGGTGATCTCTTCACTGAACTCATTAGAACTTACTTTCAATCTACAAAATATAAAGCTTTTCATTCAATGTTTGGAAAAAAAACAAATAACAAAAATAACGACTGATTATGGTATTTGATTGCAGGCAGTAATAAATTACAGAAAAAATTCGTACAATAGAAATAGTGGAAAAAAAGTGAAATTAAGTTTGTAAATCATCGACGGCAGCTAAAAATAAATAAAACAATTGGTTATCATTTCAATTTCAAATTTAAAAAAAAAGAGCGAATAGATCAAATTCCTCCTCGAAAAAGGACTGCTCCTCTAGAAGTGTTAGAACTAATAATGAGCAATGTTCATACCTTATTCAATATTTTTAACTTGCATGATAGCGAGCACCTGGAAATGATCAGGAAACAAAACATAATCATAGAATTTACCAAAAATCTGTCTCTCTGTTTCTAACTAACGGAAAGTTTCATAGGGAGAACGAGCAATAGCAATCAAATCGTTGAGCATAGATAAACGCACTTTATTTCACTCTTAAACTAATCCTTTTCTGTTAATCCGTAATCATTCGACGGTCTCAGGGCTATGAAATGAATGGATGATTCTCTTGTTAATCAGTAGATTCATTTTCGATGAAATACATACATTCGATTGTTTGTTCTGCTCGGCGACGATCTCGAATAATGAATACTGCTGCAAACAGAAAAGCAGCGCCACCGACTGTCGCAACAAAAGGTGTGATCATTAATGCATTCCGCAATGCAATCCACGGTGTTAGCTTGTCATCTGCGCCCTGCTGAAAATAATCACTGATTTGCCCAACGATATACGGACTAGATGCATCACCCTACAAAGGAAATTATTTGAAATATAAAACCGCTATCTACGAGAGAAAACATACAAAAAGATGCATTATGAAGATTTGAATAGAGCTTGCCGTTGCACGTCGAGTTGGAATGATAATATACTGAAAAAGAAGATGTAGATAAATCAATAGGAAAAACATCAATCGTACCATTAACATATCAGAAATCAATGCCCAATTACTACACATTAAAGTTTCAGCAATAAAAATAAAGATCCATGTTAAAATCTGATGATCTTTTGCAAGTAATAGTACACAGAATAAGAACGGCATTGCAAGAAGAATAGCAATACCACAGACAATTGGATCAGCACGACGATTATATTTCCGATATCTAAAAAAGACCATCGTTTATATTACTAATGCGTTTGCCGAACAAGTTTATACCTTTTGGCAATTTCACTACCAAGTACTACACCAAGTATACCAGCTCCACAGGTAATCATACCAAAATAGAGTGCTACACTATTAAAGAAAATAATCAAATCGAAAAATATGTTGACGTTTCGATGAATCGATGATATTTTACTTGGATTTATCTTTTGGGTCAACGGTACCACCTTCTGCTCGATGTGCTTTTTGAAGGAAAATTGGTCCCCACCAAGAAAGTGATCCTAATGCGAATGATACCCAAGTAAATCCGAGCGTTATTAAAATGAAAGTTTTTCTAAATAGAAAACGCGATAAAAACATATTTTTGATTAAGATTATGTGATCACGAACATTTTTAGAACTTGTTTTACGTCAAAAAACCAATTAGATCGTTTCTGCATCTGAGCACCATCCGCATCACCACGTGGTGGTTCTTTTACTAAGAAACACAACAAAATAACACAAATAACACCAAACACAGGTGTGACCTATATTAGAACAAAGCAAAAGTCATTTGATTCAGCCGAAAAAAAAATTAATAAATTACTCGTAGAGCCCATCGCCAATCGTTATGGAACGCTTTGGCTACATATGATCCAACAATATACCCCAGTCCACTAGAAAATACAATTATTAAAATGAGATTTTCCTCTCGGAAGAACACAAGTTCGTTCTTACCCGCCGAGTGGAACAGCGATATTGAAAACGGCCAACATTGTTGTTCGCATGTCACTTGTGAATAAATCAGCAATAATTGTCGGAGCAACGCAGGAGTACGAAGCTTCGCCGACACCGACTAAACTACGCAATAACACAAATAGCCAAAAGAGCTAATAGAAAACAAAACAAAAAAGTTATTGATAAAAAACGACAAAGCGAATTTTACATTCGGTGGGACAAATGATCCAGCTACAGTCGTCATGGACCAAAGTGATACACCTAATATGATCATTATTTTGCGACTAAATCGATCTCTAAAACATATTTTTGTTTATATATGTCGATCTATCGCCTCCAATTTTACCCGAGGTAACCGAAAAGTGGTGCTAATGCCATATAGCTACATACGAAAACTGTCTGAAGAAGACCAGCTTGCTTATCATTCACATGGAAATATTCTTGTACTAATTCAAGGACACCTAAAAATACGAAATGATCAATTAGGCATTTAGGGTGAGGGTGTATGCTGTGTTCTGACCTGCTATAGCGAATCGATCCATGAAATTCAATAAATTGATAAGAAATAAAACAATCATAGTGATGATACTTTTATATTTCCTTCTTTTTGGTGCTATCTTTGGTATAAGAAACTACATTACAATATTTAGATGAAGAATAATATTTACACCAATATAAAAACATTACCAGCTCTTCATTATTAGGAATCAGCATTGAAGTGATGTCAGAAACTTCTTCAGTCATCGTACGATATATCTAATATGGTAAGAAACAATTAGCAATGTCACTCTTGATGAAGCATATGAGATGAAATTCTCTTTTGTTGCATTCGACCTTTTGTCAAACAACATCAGTCATTCGCTTACTATTTTGACGATTCCACTGTGACAAATCACAAGTGTTATACATTGGATAATGGCAACTGGCGACATCTGAATTGCATTGGTTATATATATAACTATACATTCTGATGTATCGACAAAATTAAAAACATTAGCAATCAAATGAAAATGTTCAGTGCTATTTTCTCAATTCAATATATGCGTATCATCAATTTTCATGATTTGAGCTGAGATTTTACGACATGTATATCTATTTGAGGCTATGATTGTTCTACTAGAGATTTTTTTTTAAATTGTTGCTCATCATCATCACCACATTGTGTAGAAAAGGTATGCTCGAACATCTCAATGTATCCATGTTGTATGATTAGAAAAATGGTAGATTTTCGAGACAATAAAAAACATTGTACACGTGACAGAATTCATTTCAGTACTATGATGGAATGACGATGTAGTCGATGAAATATCATTCATCTTCTTGTTCATAATTTATTGAAATCGGTTCAAGAAATCGTTTGAAAGTCTCCTGACACGCTGGTGAATTCAGTCTAAACGAACGAGACAATACTGGAATAGGAATTACTACAAAACTAATCTCTATTACCCATATTGCATCCATTTGTTTAGACGAGGTTGCACTGTGCTTTGTAGTGCGACAGGTTCTTGACTGAGCCATATTCCTAATAATCGAATCGTTGCTTGAAGAACTGTGTCAAACGCCTACGGAGTAAAGGAATGAATTGTAAGAAAAATATAGCATCACGATCTAACTTGTTTATCTTCGACATTATCGATGATTTGATCGACGAAGAATATACACCCATGAAACATTTCTAGTAATTTCGATAGAACGGATGAAACCTCATCATCAGTTAATTCATCCGATTGACAGATAATCGCTATCGTATATTCAATAATCAAATAACAAGCCGCTAAATGTTGTTGACGTGCTAAAATCTAGTCAATATCAAATATGAATGATTAGCGAACAACACTATTTGAATGATGGCAAAGAGGTTACTTCATTAATTTGAGGATTTTCTACCATCATGCGCACTTCAACAGCACAAAGGAGTACCAATAGTGTGAATCTTTTCTTGTCATGTTTGCAAAGAAATGCTGTTGATTTATGTTTTTCGATTAGACAAGCGTAGACATCGAGAAGAATAGCACGTTGTTCGTTTCCTAAACACATCTCTTAATATTGAATGAACATGTCGATCTACTTACGAAGGCGACATTGTAATAAATTACCCAGCGGATCGAGAAGAATCGTGTCCGGTAAAGATTGGAAAACATCCTAATGAAATATATTGAAAAGAGATTTCGAAAGTGATCGATCATACATCCGATATCGTTGGAATAACTGAACAAAGTAATTGACACGCTTCAAAAAACTTTTCATTCTATAAAAAGGCGATACAAGTGTTTGTCGCATGAAAATCGAATAACCAACCTCGGTGTTACTCAACGATTGTGAGCACAATTCGAACAGTTTTTTACATGCTGCTGCATCCATATGTTAGAAACTGTTTTCTCTAAAATTATTTATTTATATACGTATGTATATTAGAAAAGAAAACAATCGAATGAAAATTTCATGAGAACAAACTAGAACAGCAGTATGTTGCCATCACCTCTATTTCTTGTATAAATAAAAGAAAATTAGTTTTATTGTGCGCAACACAAGTGCTACAGATGTTTAGAAACAATAAATGTGGACGGAATGGTCAGCACTCAAAATAAAGAAATAAACAATCATTAATTGGCATGGCTGTTGAACATACAAATAAATCATCTGCACAATGGAAGACTTTTGTTGAGTAAATTCAATCAACTCATTTGCACTGGTTCATCTACTGGTTGTTCACTTGAAATATCATTACCATCGTCATCATCATCATCGCCATCTTGTTCGCCGTCTGGTGGAATATAAGTTAATTTTTCTTCCTCGAAAATCTCTCGTGCTCGTTGAATATCGCTAATCAATCGTAATGCACGATCATGTAAATCACATCGTAATACTGTTTGTTGATACTGATTTCCACCGGTTACCGCTGATGGTTTTATGGAGCGATGTGATTGATTATTAAGGAGGAATTGCACGTAGGGTCGACGATGTTCATCTTCTATAAACATCAAAACAGATGAAGAATGAATTAGAAATTTTAAAGAAGAAGAAAACAAACCTATTATAACAACATTTGCAATTGAACTAAAATCAAAGTCATGTATAACTTCATATTCAGATTCATCTTGATTAGTAGCCGTTCGATAGATAATTATACGTTGAGATGTAATCATTGCCTAGAACAGATATTTCGAATTATTTTTGTTTTAGATGAAATATGTAAAGAAGACGTACATGTACGCAACAACTGCGTCGATCAATTGCGTATTCGTCATTACTTGTATTGTCGAGTTTTCTTTTCGATGAAGAATTAGCAGGTGTTTGTGAAAGTGTCAATCGTGTTATGTATCGTTCTGTTAAATCACCTTTATTCATTTGATAGAGCAAAAGTTGCCCTCGAGAATCAAAATCTGAATATGGCTGAAGAAGTCCAAAGATATTCGTTGGACATCGTGTTGTTCGCATACGACTTCTTAATATTGAATTTGATGAACGTGATCCTTCTTTTACTGCTAATGCTAAACCATTAGCAAAATCCAATATTCCAACCACCGGTTTGCTTACTGTTCCGACAATACCTTTTGCAAAACCTTTAACTAATCCACCTACACCATCTTCTACCACACCTTTATATGGCTGTGTGATGATCGAAGTAAGACCACCGATAAATCCAGCAGCTAAGCCTACTGTTCCACCGATGACATGATTGATCGATGATCCACGATAATTATTTGCAATTGCTTCACGCATATCATCATGTTCTTCGTCGAGAGCAAGTTTACCGATTCCATAAGATAGTGTTCCAGTAAATTTTGATGTTGAATCAGCTACACCATGAGCTACATTCTTTACTAACCCTGTTACGCTACCATGATCAACAAGACTAGCAAAGCCATCTGTAACGTCATTGAATAGACCTAACGGATTTCCAAGAAAATCGACACTGCCAAGAATTTTAAATGCTTGTCGTTTGAGTTCATCGACATAATGCGTAGTGAGTGCAAGTAAAAAGAAATCGTAGGTATTGAACACGTGCACTTTTTCATAGGGTTTTAAATGAATTTGGGCATTTTCGAAACGTATTAAAGGAAACGGTGCACGTCGTTTTATGGTTAGTAAATGAGTTGGCAACGATCGAGAATTTCCACAATATACACTTAGGTTAAGGTAGATTGGTGACAACGATAGTTCATTAAAATAGATCCGTGTTGCTTGTGTTGATGTTAAAAGCGATAAGAGGCGTTGTGTATCGTATTCTCCTTCGTCTAAATCATAGATTTGATCATTTGTGTTGGATTTTTTGTTGGATGATGATGAGGAGGAGAAATCAATACTAAAGAAGTCAACTAATTTCCATAATAAAGTTTCATCGATCTGAATGGTGATCGAACTCAGTGTAATTAACAAATTTTGGAAAATGTATAGTTGTCTAAACAGGAGAAAAGCAGGTGAAACAAATGACTTATCACTTACAGTCAAAATACTTACTTATAATTAGCACTTGGTTTTTGTAAACTTGCTTGTAAACGAACAGCAGAATGAATCGAGACATCGTCTTCATACGTCGCATAGAGTAAGCATGGTGTTGATGTCATCAATAACTGATTAGAGATGATAATTGTACCAATAGTAGCATCGATCGTTTGTGCATTATTTTCGTCCTTGTATTCAAGATGGATATCATTTAATATGATATAGAGAAGTTCTTCCGATTCACGACCCATAGAATTAATCACTGATATACCAATACCTACTTCAAGACGAAGATCAATACGATAGATCATCGCTGGAGTATTGTTACTAATCATTGGCGATATCGCAACAGTTTCGCTTTTAGGTGTTTCCGCGGGACTTGATGTGGTAACATTTGCGATTTCCAAAACACGTGTAGGCCCATCAGCATATGTTCGTACCGATAGAAGACCTGAACCTTGTAGACGTCGATGTGGACGAATGTGCATTGCAGGTGTGGGTGAAATTATACTTCCACCTTTATTAAACTGACGTGGTCCAAGTACGACAACACCGTTTTCTTTTAATTCACCAGCTACTTGTACACACATTTGTGTCTGTCCCATACATAAATAGCCATCTTCAAGAAATCTCCATGTCTGTGTCAGTGTTCGTTTTGGATCATATCGACGAATAACTAGACGAGTGAAACGTGTTGTAGAATTAACATTCATCGACGTATTTGTGGACAGTTCTTCGATATCGAGTACAAATGCTTGTCGAATGTCATCTAATGTGTCGTTTTTATTGCTCCAATCACGTGGTAATGATGAACCCGTATGAACCAACAAACCGCTGCTGGTCATACGCCATAATTGTGACCGTTTGTTTTCTTCGCGTCGTGCGAGTACTAACTGACCATGGATATGATCAATTACTAGTTGTTTTCGATTAGATAAATGGAAAGGACTGTCTTGATTCATTGAACTCGATTTTTGTAGCGAACGTTTGGATTGATATTGTATCGATGGCTCGTCACGAAAGGTTTCTTCAAGTGCTAAACAGATATAATTTTCGTAACACAAGTTTTCTCCTTGATAGAATCTTTGTAAATCATAAGTTTCTTTTGTACCACCAACCACAGAACATGTGACTGTTTGGCGAAGTGTTGGCTCATCCCATGCATAATCAATCGATTGATGCGGTTGAATAAATGCCCGTAGATGTGTTAAATCTTCTCGTGTTTCACTTTGATAAAACTGTATAGGAACATCAGAAAGATTTACAATACGCAGTGGTGCTGGCATTTGATTCGAATCCATAAAGACAACAAAGAATGTACCACCACGTTCAATCACTTGTACTCTGAAATGGTAGCGATTCTGAACGATTTGTTTCATTCAAACTATCTTAACTTACCTTAGGATTAAACATTGATTATTTCCATATCTTAAATTAATATGAAATCCATTGACCTGATCAATTAGAAAACCGCCCGACCAATAGATATGCCGATATTGAGGATTGTTAATAACGCGAACGCACAGTAATTGATCGAGATCACTTCTTGGCCAATGGTATGCCACATTCGAGTCTTTCAACACGTGTAAACAATTCTGTTCTAAATCACTACGATCACCTGTTTGCAACATGGCTCGAACGATATGTCGTTGAGCGATTGATAGATCGTAAGAACATTGATTGCTGATCATGTAACGTGTGCTGAGAAAGATGAAATTTGTTCGACGCAAGCGTCCTTTACCTTGACGAACATCGATACCAATATAATAAATCCAATCGGGGGATCCATGAGGAGAGCGAACATATAATTGACGATAACTTGAACCTCGTTCTAAACAAAACAATAGTTGTTGCTACAAAAAAATAAAACAAAAGAAAAGACAGATTTTTACCTAAATTAAACCGTTGTGACCATAATGGATGACCATCATCATTTTTATGTAAACCTGATCCTACTTTCATCATGCATGCATGAGATGCATCTTGATCACTAAATGAAAATAATAATGGCTCACGACTACGAGCTATTTCATGCTCGTGCGTTTGACCAGCTGCTTCATTCGTCGCACCTTCTTGCTTGAAGACTAATGGTATACCACTTTTATTAAGCAGAACATACGGTACGGAAACGGATATTTTCAATCGATGTCGAATCGAACAAACGATCGTCACGTCTACTAATAGAATTCGTTGGATACTATCGTAGAATACCACCCGTTGGCGATGATATTTCATCAGATTCAGATCATTAATCGATGGTACGCGTATTGGCTTACTCATTTGATAAACATCTGTGGCGAAGATTATGTTAATTGCTTCACCGATGTTCAGAGTATGTTCACGATGAGACTTGTATGGATTCAATCGGACTTTAAGTGGGTAAGGGTATAATTGAAAGAATAAATCACATGGAAGTAAATTGTTAATGATTAGTGGCGAAAGAATTGATAATTGATATGCAGATAGGATATGGTCTTTGTAGGCTAATAGACGAGTTCGTTTCGATTGAACGCACACGTAGTAAACAGATTCATTGCCAACCATATTGCATGTACAAAAGAATGAAAGACGATCAGTAGAGTTGATGTCACGATGACGTTGTAACGAATTCGTTTCCGCTGATGAATCGTTATCAGGACTAAAAATACATCTTAGAAAATGACCTAAGAAGATTTTCGTATAGGCTTACTTTTCTTCCTTCGATTGCTGTTGTTGTACGCGTCGTCGTTGTTCATTAGCAATCTTCATCCAGTCAATCGGTTCTCCGCAATAATTAAATCCAAAATCTGTTGGTCGAACTTGAAACTGTCTCAGCGTCGAACAAAATTGCAACGGCAATGATCGAACTTCATTTGGTTCCAATCGAATATCATGCAATGATCCCGAACCACATTTCAATCGCAGATCAACCGGTGTTAATAATTGGTTACGTATTTCAATAGCAGATCGGATTGTTATTAAACGCATTGAATTCTCCGTCATTGTAACATCAATAAACACAAGAACAGGTTTTTGTAGCCGATCACTCGATGGCACAGCAAGACGAAAAAAGGTTCCGACACGATCGATGAATATCGGCTGTAACCATTCCCAACCATCTACGCATATGAGCAATCGTCTATCAGAGTACGATGATGAAGGTGATAGGGTTTGAGGCTCCTTATTTAGAGCAAATCTTGTAACTGTTGACGGTAGCGGTGGTGCTGATACCGTTGGTTCAACAGGAAAAATAAATGATTTGGTTTCATTGTATTCCACAACGTGTTCATTCCGATCAAATCGTTGTTGTGATGATAACCATGTTTTAAATCTGACTGGTTGTCCGACAAGATTCTTAAAACAATAAGGTTCGAAAGGTTTCGGTTGGCGAAAACACATATTCTCTTTATTGGTATCAGTTGAATTATAATAATCTTCTAGCCAATTATTTCTGACTAGATCATACAATTGATGCATAGTTTTGGTATAATTGATGTTCAATAAATGGCTCGAACAGATCGCTAATGATGTTCGAATATCCGATGTTTTCAATGTTAATTGTAATTGCCATAACTCAATGAATGGTTCGTAACCAGACAACAAACGATTGTAATAATCAATATTCATTTCTAAATCTGCTTGATGCAAACGATATGTTTCGTATTCAGTCATGACGAATTTAATAGTCTTAAATGTTAGATTTAATAAAGGAATATTTGCATTTAGGCAATCATCGATTAAACAGAGAGCTATTTGTTCACAAACAAATTTGATGGAATGAATATTTAGAAATAATTTCGATGTCTTTTCTTTTGTGTTTTCAATAATGGACAGTTGTCGTTGATGTTCACCGATATTCGATGCAATGGCTGATCGAATACGAAAATCGACTTGACTATCTTCTGGACAATATTCCATCAGAAGTTCATTATCAATCGATAGGCGTTTTGTTGGCGGCGATATCTTATATTTCGGTATGACATCACGTGATTGTGCTTGATGAATCTGTTTATTAATCGATTGAAACATATATAGCATTAACTTCATATCTGAATAGGATAAACGTATGAACAATTGAGGAAGATTAACCTCAAATATTTCCTGTTGTTTATCTTTCGATAGATGAATATTAAACGTGATATTGATCGGCTCGATGATTGAGACAGCCGTTGATTGAATATTATTCATTTGACAGGAAAATAGAGTGACACTGAAGAGACTACACTCCATTGGATGTTCACGCATGGCTTCTCGGTAAGTTAAATTCATGATGCCACTGAGAACTAATGCGTTCGATTCTAGATTGTTTGTTGTTTGAACGAGAACAAGTTCAGATTTATTGAAATTTAATCGTAATTCGAATAATTTCTTAATTTGAATTGGAGCAACTGACATGACTGGGTTGATTTGCATAGGTACTTGTTGAAATGAATTGAGGAAATCATTTAGTTTTAACAGCCAATCAACAATAAAAACGATTCGAGTATGATTCAATACAATTGTGTACTTCTCATCCGTTTTCTTTGATAGTAAATGCACTTCTAATTGCATTTGACTTGTACTTGTTGCCATGGATGACGATGAAATAAGAATCTCACGAAATTGGTTCGAGTGTTCTGGACGTGTATCCGTTAATTTTATCGATGAACATGTTAAGTCAAGAACTTGGTCGTTATTCGAATATTTTTCAAAGGAAAAGTTCGATTTGATAAACGCACAATAGCCTAATGAATAGCGTTTCGAATCATTGGGTATCAACATCTCAAAACCGACATTGTCCATTTGAACTATAAATATCATGTCGAGATAAACATCACCGGTTAAAATTGTCGACACACATAATGGATCATCGACCATCATTGCCGGTCGGGTAGGCTGTTCTAATTGTTCACCGATATTGTAAGCAAGTATACCACGTACTAATGAGTATTGATATGTATCAATCAGAATATCAACCGAAGAAAGATCAGCTTTGACACTGTATGTTGCCGATGCGTGATTCAATGAACTGTCGAGATTACGTTCTACTTGGATGTTCAAATAGCAACGTTCGCGTAACATGGAAGATAGATCATCACGATTGGTATAGAAACCAAAGTTCGAGAAGCAAACAGTCGGCTGAATGTTTCTATTCAATTTGCAATAAGTTGCAGAATAGAGCAGTGTATCTTGGAATTGAACGGATATGACGTCGAGCAAACATTTCGAATCTTTCGGTCTATTCATAATTGAGCTCAATGTTCCAGGTTCGTTATCATGTAGAAAACGATTTTTAATAATTATGTTTCCGAGATGAAGAACGATTACGGGTGTGTTGAGAGCATATTCCGGAAGGATGAGAATTGGACTTTCGGCTTCAATATCTAGTTCAATACCAGTCGAACGACCAGCAGTGCAAGAAATGGTTTGCCCGGCAGCTGCTGATCGGATTCGATTATAACAATCTTGATTATGTTGAAACCGATCAAAGAAATGAATAATGTCCATAAGAAAGCGTTGTGTATGAATATATTGAACAGAAGTCAAACGTAAATATAATTGTAATCGTGATGGAAAATTTGATGACGGCTCTGAAATAAGGTTTTCTTCCTTGGTGTAAGTGAAGACCAATGCTTGAGTTCCACTGGTGCAAAAACGTTCTTCGTAGAGTTGTCCGAATGACGACAAATCATAGATCGAGATCGAACCAAGTTTTCCATTGACAATCATTGTTTTGATTGCTTTTTCAACTGTCAAAAAATTCTGAATTTGACAATCAAGACGCTGTAATAAAACACGAATAGGCGGAATATGATCATCTTGCAGAAGACACGACACAGCATCAATGTGAATATTAATTTGCATCGAATCACTATCGGATATCGATACAGCTTCTTTATTTTCTCGATTATCTAAATAGGATGTGGTCTATTTCGATTCTATTCCAAAAGATTTGTCTCACCGATTGTTGCTGATGTCGGTGTTCCACCAATTAAACCGATGATATCCAACAACATCACCCATGTTGAAATAACAAATTCAAGATTAACTTCTCCAAACTGTGCATCGGCAATGATATTAAATCCGTCGAATTGTTCGTGTCTTTTATCCATTAATGTTATGTTAATATCAATAAAAGCTGGAGCAGGTGGTAATATAGTTTGGTTAGACGGCGATGACGCCAATGTCCATGTTGAACTTTCATTTGGAATTGCGTAAGCTGGTACAGAACTCGAAAGATGAACATCGTGTGTCGAATACTTCTCGATTGGAACGGACGAAGAGAAAATTTGTTCTTGATGGTAGAAATTTGACGAGGAATCTTTTCGACAACGTGTTGAAAATAAACACTGATCTACTTTGATTAGATGGTCATTGATATGTAAAGAATTCAAACGTAAGGAAATGGTTTTACGAAATGCTTGTTGTTGATCAATAGACATTTGAAACTGGCCAAAGATCGCTTCGCAAACTTTCGTCGGTTTCAAATCTAAATCAGCTTGAAATGCAAGGATCAATTCTGGTAATTGAAAATGAATTGCAAAAGTCTTGAATGTTGTTTGATTTGATTTCTCGTTCTGTGGAGCTGCGATTTCCTCTTCTCCTTCTTGATCGAATAATAGCAAATCATCCTCTTCAGTGACATCAGTGATCGCTGTTATCATTTCATCGTATTCATTATATGTTAGTGAACTAATTATATTCTGCAGAAGAGTTATTTGATGTTTACCGAGAAACATCTGAACTGAAGAAACTAATTTAGAGTCGATCGTTGTTGATGTGTCTGTTAGCTTCAAAACCAAATGTATCGAAATGTTATCGAGGATTGGCAAAGGCTCGTGTGGCTCTTTGTACATTCGTGTGAGACTTTGGCTTTGATTATACCGTAGTTCACGTTCGAGATCAATGGTGAATAAGGTTAGATGATTGATTTTAATATCATACATTGACGAATGAATTTCCGAGTTTTCTACGTGAATATCTCCGAGATGAAAAACTAAACGATCGTTTATCGATGCCATTTTCGATTGTGGACGAAAGATAAGAATAGGAGTAGCGAGAACAAAACTTAGATTCAATTGTCGAGTTGGTTCTTCAGTCGGTAGCACTAAAACAAAAAAAAACAATGAAGAAAAGAAGTTTCTAAGACTCGCATTCTTACCCGATTCGTTCGGAAGAACATATTGGTTAAGTAATGCGGAGCCCTGTTTGATCATATTTTGTTTCATTTTTTCCATTTCAATCGCGATTTTCGAGTGACAATGTTGTCTCATGTAATTCATCATAGTTTCGATTTTATAGAGAATCTTTGGTGAATGTGTATAACAAACCGATGCCATTTCGATCGACAAATCTTCTACTCGATTCTGTTTATTCATATAAACAAGATGAAACGCTTTGTTTGCTTGAACTTTCTCTGAATGCGAGGATTTCTTCTCGTCAATACCAAAATCAATAATCGCACTTGATTGTACATGACTGAAGAGATCAAATATTTGTAGTGCACAGATTTGTGCTTCGACTAATGTTGACGGTTCAAGAATGATATTCAATGACGCCTGTTTCATTCGTGCTGCTGCGATTTTTTCTAATTTCGTTCCATGAAAGCGTTTTCCCGTTGATTTGAGTGTGACCACATTCGTGAATAAGATACTTAATTCTTGAAACTCGCCATTGATTTGGAATCTTGTTGTTTTCTTCTTTTGAGGACTGAGAACAATTTCATTGGACTGTCGAAAGTCTTGTCCAAGGATAGTTTTCATCCGATAAGTCATATTAACGAAAAAGTTTATCAAGATCGCTAATGTCTCCGGATTAAATACAAAATGTAATTTATTCACGTGAATGTCTATGATTAAACAATCTTCATCAGTTTGAACATCAGTCGATGATTGGATATTCACTCGGATCAAATATTCATCAGTGATTTGTGTTTCATAATTGTTCAATTCATATAAAGTTCCCGTTTGAGTGTTGATATCCAGTGCGCGACTACTAGTCAGTAGTAATTCATAGTCTTTACCATGCTTCTGTAGAGCATCGATAATCATCAACGTATGAACACTGAACGATAACGCGTTAGAATAGACGTGATTAACCAATGTGATATCGATGTTTTGTATACGCATTTCGGAAAGTGCACGAGGGTCATCACTTAATCGAATGCTGATTTCATTTAGACGAAAACTCAATGCTAAACGTGCGTTGAGATCCTCCATGGGTTTCTTTGGATTTGGGATATCTGATTTAGAAACAATCGATGATGTTAAGTTTTCAACGAATGATCCCCAATTTTTAATTGTTCCACATAAAGTTTCCATTCGCGATGGATCAAGATGAATAATAATCTTTGGTAATGTTCCCGAAACTTTAATCAATGGCCATAGAGGGTCCAACATTGGAATTGTTCGATACTGAATCAAAAAGCAAACACCGAACTGCTCAATGATCGATGAAAGTTTATTTTTCTCTTGATTTTTTGTGTAAGTCAAATAACCCAGTTGCATATCGCATAGTGACAATGAAAATGTTGAATACATGGAATCTTGAGGATCATTTATCGGAGATAGACTTTGTTCTCGTGGAATGATATTCACCAGATAATTTGTTGTCTCATGTTCGAGCATACCATCGGTTGCCAATGGAGAACTATCGGGTGTGAGAAATTCCTCGTCTTCATCTTCATTTATTGTCGATGGAACAGGTGATGAACGTTGTTCGTTGAAAAAATAAGGACGTTGTTGAAAATAATTACTAATCGATGTTGGAGACGTCGGAGATACCGAACTCGTGTAATGCATATCACAATTCTTCAATGGACATGCGTATTTTTGATATTCATCATTAATAAATGTTAAATAACCGAAATCGACAATCAGGGCACGGTCCGACGATTGCGGAATGATCATTTGTGGTGCACATATATCGAGATAAATATCGAATTTCTTCTTATACCGACGCTGGCCTTGTTTGATATGTTTGACATTCGACGATGTCATTTTAGTGGTTGTAGTAGAAAAGATTTGTTCGAAAGCGGATTTCAACTGTTTGGTTGTACGTTCTTTCAAATGTGTCCAGTGTTGAAGAATCGACGGCGATGGTGATAATGGTTCAGCCGATGGTTGTACAAATGCAGATGAAAAGAAATTGCGTAGGCGTTCGACAGACATAGGACAACATACACAGCAGAGGCCACGACTGCGAACAGCAATAGCAAAAGCCAAGCGTTTGGCTTTCGGTTGTTGTGCAGGAGGACGAGTTTCATAAGATAATTCAAATACGGGAGCGCGTTGTGTACCAACTGATGATCTAAATAGAATAGAAGTAGATCGTACAGTATCAACTAGTTACTTACTCATGTGAACGTTGTTTTGGACAGATGATATTGGAAAAAGCATCGGTTCTTAAACGATCACAGATATTCAAATCATCCAAACGTAAATAGAACAAAATCGATTGATGTCGTGGCCGTAATTCTGTTAGTACTGAAACATTATTCAATGAAAAATTGAACATGACATCATTGTCAGTTAATAAATCAATTTGTACTGATTTTAACACAAATTTCAATCGTAGATACAAAGCATCACGACGATGCTTGGACAGATCTTCATCTTCTAATGATTGTGCAATAAAATTGCTTACTTGCTCTTGTAATTTCTGATCGTTTTCATTCAAAGGTACTCCAGGTGGCATATTGAAAATAGTCGCTTGATTCACATCATTTGGTGTAGATGTTTTCCATAGATCCACTGTTTTTGAACTAATCCACTTGGCATAACTCATATACCACGAACTGGTCGGTTGAGTTTGAGTCTGAACTAAATCGAATTGTTCATTTGCACGTTTACGAAAGATTACACGTCGAACACGAAGTAAACAATCGAGATCAAAGTCCATTTCAATCTCACTCATCACGGAACGGTCAGCGGGTGTGAAATTAGTATTCGTCGGTCGTTTTACATATTTATTATCAAGATACAAACGATATAAGCGTTTATATGTGACTAATTGTTGCAAACGTTTTATTAAAATATGTGAATTAAACCAAAAATTAGTCGTCGTATGCGTTTGTTCACTTGAAACAGGAGTTTTCAAATAATTCTGTGTACGAATGATAACTAACGTAATGTATCTCCACCATGATCTGGCCGATTGTTTGGATATTTTCACAGTTGGACGACTTAGATCATTGATAAACTTACGATGAGTATTGGAATATTGAACGAAACGAGTAACGTCCGAAAGGATTCGTATATGTTCAATGCTGGACTTCAAGCTTAAATCGTCGAATGTCCATTCAAGTTCATAACGTGGTTGGCGGCGGTTGACGAGTGCTGAGCGAAGATAATTATGAGTTAAATAGATTTTTATAGAATTTGATGGTAGAAGTATATACGAATGTGAAGAGGAGTTATCTTTGGATGGATTAGAGTCCGCATAAAGTCCGAGATTATGTACTTGAAAAAGTTTTCGGTTCATATTTTCATTGGACAGTTCATTCGAAATTTGAATATTATCAAAAGCTAATCCAACTGTATAGGGTATATTATCAGAAGTAAAACTTTCATAACTGATATGAACATCAATAATTTGTACTTGAATTTTTTCTAGAAATGATAAGATCAAACGCTTCAAACCCCAAGATGATGATTTGACTTCTCCGAGAAATTCGAATTCTTTTTCTAATTGTTGTTCGGCTAAGTCTAAACGTGTTTGTTTCTTAATCATTTCATCTTCTTCCACTGATTCCTCCGAATCATTCTCGTTATTATCATCGAGAACAATCGGTTTAATCACAGCACGAACATGTTCAACTTTGATGATAAATGCCGATGACGACGAACGAAAAAATAACGAACTCCAAACGAACGAACATTGAATCTTACCGACATGTAATGATTCAATTTCAATTGGTAATTTTAATTTTGTCCGAAGATCGTTATTCAACGCGCTTTTATTAAATGTTAAATTTTCTACTACAATCGGTCGACCATAAAGTAATTGAACAGATAACTGATCAGCATTTATATCAACATAACGAGCAACATAACCCTTTAACAAGGAGGCTATAATCGCTTCAAACATGCGAATCGATGAAGCTAGTTTTCAATATGGATATATCTACAAATTGCATCCAAGAAGGATTAGATGAAGAAAATGCTCACAAACGCAAATCGTATGTTTATTCATCCATATTTATAGATTAGACAATATGTCAAAATACGAAAGGCACTTGCTTTTCAAAAAACAACAAGAGAAATCTAAGAACAAGAAAATGATTAGATAAACAAACACATACATCCATATGACATGAAATTTGAGATGAAAATGGATTCATTTTTCGACATCTGACAAAGCGAATATTCATATTCGTTAGGAGATTTTTCATTCACATACAGATCTACTTTTGTATAAAAACAAGAATGGAAGATTAATTTGCTATTTACATGATATAGTACATTCGATCTGACGTAACGCATAGATTATCATCATTTAGCCCTGATTAAGTTTGGACGTTTCCATTTCTTCACGAATGGCTTCTTCATAATCATGTAATTTTCTACCATCTTTTATATGCGCATAATTAGCCACAAGACAGCAAAGAAATTGGATCTGAAATCAATGAATATCATTCGGATTTAAATCGATACTATAATAAATTCTGTTCTTACCAAACCCAAAACAACGAAGAATGAACCGAATAAAGCAGCTATATATCTTGGTGTATAGTTCGTCTATGAGAAGAACGTTTAGAAAAGATTAATACTTTACAGATCACTCTCTTACCAATGTGCACAATTCATTGAATTGTTGTTGACAGACTTTAACATCAGGTTTATGTTTTGGTACTGGAATACCATATGTTCCTGGCGTTAAACATAATACTGGTGAAGCAGTATTCGGAAAATCTGAAGCACTTGAAATATGCCAAGCTTCTAAGCAACGAAATTGAAGAATGTATAGACTAATGCATGGTACCATTAAAGCTAAGACTGCAAATAACCAGATGAGCAAGAGACTGTAGACAATGATAGAAAACTAAAAAGATAAAATTATTTTTTCTTTCGATTGTTTCAATAGAAACGTACAAATCCTGTTGCAATACGACCGCCAAGACGAGAACGAAAACCTGTGTAGATCTGATGACGTGTAGCACCTGTTGCTAATGATCCGACGATGAGCAGAATCACCGAAAATCCTCCCATAATTGCCAACACAAATATCGTTGATAAGCGCAAAATTCGATTCCTAAGAAAAGAGGAAGTAGCAATTATTTTCAATTAACACTTCGTTCAACATTTACCAATCATTATCTATGTATTCGACTTGAAATGCGATATTAATTTTCTCAATCGTTCCTGGTAGTAGATAATAAAGACATCCACAACATACACTAGTGCCAATCAATGTAAGAAGAAAGGCAATGAATGATGCAAATGGAAAACGTCCACAACAACGAAGAAAATCTTTGAGAAAAGAAGAAATTTAAAAGAAAACATAATGAAGAAAAGTGCTACGAACTGCTTTCTTTATATTTCACTTCCGACATGGTTTGTTCAGACCAAAGTTCTCGACTTCGATCAGCAAATCGACTAACATCACCTATTCAAACAAGAACAAAACGGATTTTTCTTGCATATTCTCGTCATTAAAATACATACGATTATCAACTCCCATATTAATCGATTGCAAACTAACAAAAATTTGAGTAAGATGTACTGAAGGCTTGATTATATCACCAAAACAATCCGAAATGAACGTATGTTGACAGATAGACTGACTGAGTAAACAAGCAATCACATAAGCAAGCAGACAAATAGAATAGAGTAGAGTAGAGAAAGACAATACTTTCCATTGGTTGTAATATTAACCAATCAGATTCTTTTCTATTTTCTATATTTTTCTCTTTTATCAGAGACGCGCCACAAATGTTGACACTATTGGCGACAAATTTCCAACGACGTTCTTAGTATTACTCAGTCACATTTTCTCTCTTTCGCTTGTTTGTATCTATCTACCGAATTAGTATCTACGAACTATTCGGTAACAATGAACAACGATGACGATGAAAATAATGCAATCGATCGTTCAGATGAAATTGTCACAGATATGATTTCATTAATACATTCGTCAACGCAATCAAGTTATGTCTCATGTTCTCAACTAGCATCGAAACTAATTTCATACTTGTCACAAATCCGTATTGATGAAAGCCAATGGAAAGATATTGGAAAAGCTGTAGAAGTAAGAAATTCTTTTCGAGATATTTAAATTTTAACGTCGTTTTTCTCCTAACAAGCGTTTTGATCAAAGTACAAATCATCCTGATCTTCGTCGTTTTCGACAATTGCTCGAAACAATCAGCACATGTTCGAACGATTGCGAAGAACGAAATTATACATTGGGACGAGACACGAACGCACTCTTGGACAGTATATACCAATTACAAGAATTATCAGTAAGTAAACGAAGAAAAAGACTAATCTGCATGAATAGACCGAATTCAAAGGAAAAGATCGACTGGATTGTATTCACAATAGAAATGTGATTTGAATTTTACTCGTTCTCTAATATCTATTTCCGGAAAATGGCTCAACAGAAAATTTCCGGTCTGATAAATGCATAGTTCTTTTTTTGTCCCTCCATGAAAACAAAATCAGCTCCTGAAGGGATTTGTTCTGCTTGTATAAGTCTATTAGACGTGTCACAAAGAATAATACTAACCATGTTTAATATAAATTCTAATCTATTGTTTAGCAAGCACATGTAAATCTTAAATGTACATTACTTACCAAAGTAATTCAACAAAAAGATGTGCGATTGTTGCTTGGTGATTTAATGAATTTAACCGGAATGGTTCGTACTGTCGTCGCAATTGTTTTTCCATTCAAACAAAGACTTGTTTAGAATGTTGGCCTTGAAGTTCATGGAACAATTTGTAATATAATTCATCTTCTCTGTCAAATTGATCGAGATTTTGCTATATCGAATGTTATCGATCATCCAATAGTATCCAATTGTCTTCGAATTATTCAAACGAGTATAAATAGTATTTGTACGACAGGTGTTTATTTTATCTAACGCATGTGTATGTAGCTGCTCTTGTTGTATTTCGTTGGCTTAGACAATGCTTATGCGTGCTACTAGATAGACGTTACTGAGAATGGTTAATCGAAATTGTTTTTTTCCTAGGTGACAATACAAAATCGACGGTGATTTCTGCGCTTTTCCTTTTGATAGATTTACTTCTGACGAACGAACCTTTTCCGGTGCATAGTTACGGTGAGAATTTTCCGCAAATATTTAGATAGATTGTGATGAATTGTCGCTTCAGGTCAAATATCAAATTGTGTATTTTTGAAAAGTATTTTTGAATTAGTTGAAAACAACGATGATGATGAGGAATTTGCTTTAACATTAATCAAATTTCTATTATCATTGAATTTACGTTTTGATATTCCGCGTGAAAATCCAATTATGCTAACATTGGTAGCAGTGAATGAACAAATATCATGTCGGGAGTTAATGGAACGATTGATTCTTTTGTTCAATCGAGGTGGTAAGTAGAGAGCAAACGTAATTAATCTCCACGCACCGTGTTTTTCTTTTCATTTCAAATTTAGTCGATCCTATTGAATGTAAAACGTTGAACTCAGTGATCAAATTCTTCAAGGATTTATTCGGTGATCAAGCAACGACTAGTGACGCACTTCTATTCGATTCAGATCGACGACTAATTGTGGAAATAATCAGTCGTGAATTAGCAGATCGATCATTTACAGATGAAGTAACCTTGATCAATATATTTGCATTACATATTAACTCTTTTGTTTGTTTTAGACAACAACTGAGTATTTATCTTTATTAGAATTGATTCTTCGCAGTCGTTCGATAACCGTGGATAATTGTACCCGAACTGAAGATCTTCAAACAAGTTTTCGTGCTCATCTATATGCAGAAAATTGTTTGAAAGAAAACCGTCTTCTCATCAACGATATTCTCCGACAACATAATTGGTTAACAACGAATGACATGCCATTTTATCTTTAAAAAAAAAAGCAAACTAGATATTTTAGTTTATTTTCATTCATATATATGTGTGCGTGCACGTCGTTTTGATTAGTAGACACAAACAATATAGATCTATTTGATTGTGTATTTCAGAAGCAAGATTCATTGTATGAGAGAATAGCGTTTCTAATTGATCTTGTCAGCACAGCGGAGAAAACTTCCGTGCACTACAATCGATCTCATGTTTGATATGCAAACGATGATCAGATATTGCCTTGCGTTACGATAATCAACAGCGAGTCGAACCTTCAGACAAGTTTTCTTCACAACTGGATTCACGTTGAAGGAGCTTTCCGTGAACCAACGGGGAATTATAATTGGATTACTAATGATATAGATTCCATCGTAGTAGAAAATGGTGTTATTAACAAGTATAATGATGAAGGCGTATGCCTGCGTGAATGTTTTCATTTGATTAGAAGTGCAGTTCTCTCGTAGAATGAACGATGTCGATGTAGTTAAAGTAACATGACGAGAAAAACAAGTCGACAATACCGATTCAGATTTCATCATTTACGACTGAAAAAATTGTTGATTATATGAAAGAGAAGATCGTCTAAAATGAATATTTTTAGCATGACGAGATTGAATAATTCTGTCAGATGTTGTACTCGAAGAAAAAAAACCCAATGAACGCTTATTCGTTGCATGTTTACATGAAATGAGTAATCAATCATAGGAAAGATGCATAACTCAATTTTAGAAGCAAATTTCCTATCGAAATATGTCTTATAATTAGATATTCTATGTCACGAGACATGAATGTCTAGGTTTATCTTGAAGTAAACTGAAACGTTTGCCTAACAATGTCGAAAACAAGTTTATTTCGTAATTATTCTTTTTTCACTGACTTTCTTTTTAATTTAGCAACAATATCGTCTTCATCACGATCGGTTCTCGATGAAGAATTCGAGCTTTCAAGTTTTCTTTTCTTTAATTTTTCATCAATGAGACGTTGTGTGCCCGCTGTTGCTTTGAAACGATGATCGGATTGATCAATGTTGAATGCTGGTTGTGTGTAAACAGCTTGAAAACGCTGATCATTCACGTTCAGTTGAAACGCATCGTCCGCTGATTTGTTGTCGTTGATTTCATTCGCTGAATCTTGTTGGAATTTTTTTGATTTTTTTGCATTTTTAGCAGCTGCTTTCGTCGATTGTTTATGAGATTTAATCATTTCGCGAAGATTGTAATTACGTTTACCGTCTTGTTCATCATCGCCAGTCAATAATTCAAGGGTATCTTGATTATTTTCTGTCGAATCGTCTTCGTCCAGATCGTTCGATTCAGTTTTATCAGATTTGGTTTTCTTGTTGTTGTTCTTCTTGTCGTTTTGTTTCGTCGGTTTTTGTGACTTCTGTCCGGTTTTACCATTCAAACCGGATGTCCACGTAATCTCCATATCGATATCACTATCGCTATCGGCTTCATCGTCATCATCGCCAAGCATTTCTCGAGGCCCCTCTTCGTCACTGGGCTCTTCGTCAAAGAATTTGGTTTTGGTTTTTTGTTTAGATTTTTTATCCGCTTTCGGATCTTCGTTGAAATCCAATAACAAAGCTCTAGATTAAAATAAAAGTAAGTGTCTATCTTAAGAAAAGTTTAGATTTACCTATATCGATCGATGTCATCCTGAGTACTGAGAATACTAGGTGCACGAGCAATAGGTCCATCGCCTTTGTTTTTTTTCGAAGCCGACGGTATAGACGTTGGTACTTTGAAAATAGCATCGTCGTTCTTCTTCTCCTCATTTTCATCTCCACTTTCGTCATGGATCTGATCGTCGTCATCATCATCTGGTTCTTCATCAGTTCCAGACGCTAAATACTCATCCAAATCAATTTTTTCTAGTTCCTCTAATGTATATTTCTTCTTTGTTAATCGACGGCGTTCGATAGGTGTCTCATCCCACGTACATCGTACTTTGGTTTGTGTCAATGCTGTATTGCGAAATAACTGTGGCTTGTATAATGTTTTATCTGGCAATTGAGTACATTGATCGTGTGGTGGAATTGAGGAGTCAAATGTTACCGAATCAGGTATAAAGCGTAAATCTAAGCGAACAGCACTTGTTTCGTATTCGAGTCCATCGCATTCTTCGTAAATCTTAGCAGCCGTTTCCGCAGTGTCACATTCAACAACTGCATAGTAATATTTCAAACGATTCAATTGATATTTTCGTAGACGTTCGCGCATAACTGGATCAGTTGTATCTTGGTCGTCATCTTGATTATAATTTGATGCGTTGTCATCATCATCAGACTTTACTTCCGGTTCTTCAGGTTCTTCTTCAGCTTCACTTTGACGTCCACTATCGTTACCATTCCTATTGAAAACATGTGGATAGGACTACCAATGAAATATTCGTTAAAACTTACTGATCTGTAGTGGTGACTGGTTTTGCCACTCCAGGTATAGGACCGAAATTTTTTTCTAATTCCATCTGTTGTAATCCATATTCGGATGGATAGATTGTGACGGATTTGATAATACCATCAGCCTGTTTCCATGAGTTTAAGAGAAGAAAGATATCAACAGCTCGTACACGATCCCAGTCCATATTGCAAACAGCTAGTCGACGACTAACATCGTCCGAACTAAATACAGACTATATTGAGTATGTCTTAATACATGTAGAAGATCTATACCGAGCACATTTCTCATCGAATTCATTCCATTCGATACCATCGTTAGCATCAGGTATTTCTTCGTCTTCATCGGATGAACTTGATTTGTTTTCTTCTTCCTCTTCGTCGTCATCTTCTTCTTCTTCGTCATTATCACTTTCTTCACTTTCGAGAAATTCATCCAATTCTTCATCATCGGCTGATTTCTTCGGTTTCTCTGTCTCACTATCTGATTCTTCTTCAGATGATGTCGAACTACTATCATCATCATCATCATCATCATGTCCAAGTTGATAGAATTTCTTCATGTCATCTCGTGTGGTATGCTCTTTTAGCAATGGTCGGCCACGTTTATCAACTGTGTATTTCATTTTGAATTTTGGATCGTTAAACATCGATGCAAAGCGGCGATCAATCTTGAGCTTTCGCTCATTTTTCGACGCAGGTCGAAAACGTGGATCTTTCGTAATATGAGAAAAACGCGCGTCTTTTTTTAATTCGTCCATGTTTGACTGCTAAAAATGACCAAACTTATCTAAAAATAGGACGAGATCAAATGAACATTTATTGGATTCAAATATGTGTATGTATGCTTTTATTTAGGAGACAAAGAGAAGAGTCATAAACTATCTAAATGGTAAGTCGAGTATGAGAAAGAGAAGAAAAAAAAGTACAAAAGTCTATTTTGCCGAACGATTTGCATTGGCTGCAGTTGTTTTGCTGGTTAAACTCTCTACTGCATTCAATACTTGTTCAGCATTCATGCCAGTCAATGGGATTTGTTTTTCAATGCCATATTCATATCGTGTCCATAATGTTGGGTTAATATTTGAACATTCTCGAATCAAGATGGGTGTTGTTGGATTTTGTTGTTTTAAGTTCACATAAAACTGTTCGATGAATTTTCGTGCACCCTCGCTTGTCGAAGATTTTTGGCATAAATGTAAACGTAATTCTTTAACAGCTGGTGCAAAACGAAATACTTTCGACATGATCTAGAAATAAGCAAAACAAAACCATCAGTTAGTATTTTCTTTTTAAAATACGTTAACAAAAGAAAGAAACAACAAATCATCAGATTCATAACAATAGATAATCTGACGACTGTGAAAAACAACTATAAAAAAAAACAAAAGCAATCTTGCTGGATATTCATTTGGAAAGTATAATTGTTAACAAGGCCATGCGAATATAGAGACCATTCTCAGCTTGGCGGAAGTACGCAGCTCGAGGATCACTGTCAAATGCAGTACTGATTTCATCAAGGCGCGGTAGCGGATGCATAACAATCATTTTGCCATGTTTCTTCGCGTTGCGCATCAATTGAGGTGTGATTTTATAGAGACCACAAGCCTATGAAAGGGTCAAAGATGAAATCCAAGATGAGTATAGGAAATCAATACTTTTTTATATTCTTCGTCGGAACTGAACCGTTCTTTTTGGATACGCGTCATGTAAAGAACATCGGTATCCGGTAAAATTTCTTCTAAAGTCTTGTGCGTTTTCTACAAAATAGTAAACAAATTGTCTTCAAGTAATTTTCATCGAAAGATAATCACTTGTGAAATGCCTGCTGCCGCAACACAATCAGTAACATCGGTTGGCATTGCCAACGAAGGTGGACAAACATAATGAAGTGAAATCGATTCTAAAAAATAGACAATCGATATGAAACAAAGATGCATAGAAATATGACATACTATCACTGTACATGGTTAGCAATTTAGCAAGAGAATGTACTGTTCGGCCATGTTTTAGATCTCCGACCATTGTAATCTAAATAATTTCATTTGAAAATATTTTCATTTTGAGCAGAGTGAAAATGAATACGTACAGTTAAACCATTGAATGTACCGATCTCTTCTCGAATAGTGAAAACATCCAATAAAGCCTGTGTCGGATGTTCACCAATACCATCACCGGCATTAATCACTGGAACACGTGAAATACTTGCTGCTCGTTGAACAGCACCTACTTCTGGGTGACGAATAACAATCACATCAGCATAACTCATTAACATTCGCACCGAATCTATTGTATGGAAATACAGAAAGTACTTTTCCGGATGAATATACTCTTGTCTGTTACCTTCAAGTGATTCTCCCTTTTGAACCGAAGACAGATGACTATCAAATGGAATGACTTTGCCGCCAAGACGTAGCATAGCACCGGTGAACGAACACTGTGTACGTGTTGAAGGTTCAAAAAACATATGCGATAATATTTTACCCTAGAAGATTCGAGATATAATGCAAATTTTATCGAATACTAAAATAATTACAGTTAAGACTGGTTCGATTTGACGATGGTGTAAATGACAATTACGATATTGATGTGCCAGTGTAAAGATTTCTCGACACTAGAAAAGTCACAGATATTCCATCTTGATCTGCAGAATGAAACATACTTGTGCACGATTGATTTGTAAAACACTGAGCAAATGTTGTTTGGCAAGACCAGCACCAAATCGTGGTATCGGTTCTGATTTTTCTGGCGCACTGGGTTCGCTAATATCTATTGAAAACAAAATTCTGATGTTTTTTGTGCTTTTCCAAACTTCGATAACTTACATCGTTGTCGTGCTTGTGATGCGTGAATTGGAGATCGTTTGACATCCAATGGTAAGTTTTGTGGTGTTTTAACTCGTTTTATTTGATTCTTTTCACCACGTAAACTCGTCAGATTTTTTCCTGATCCCTGTTCAGCTAGTACTTGTCCATCAACAAAAACAACTTCACCGCGAAGTACAACACGATGAACGGCACCTCGCATCTGCATACCAATGAATGGTGTCCAACCGGATTTTGACAATAAACTCTGTTCATCAATAATCCATTTTCGTTCCATGTCAACTTCCACAAATGTATCATTGCCTTGATCAGGTAAATTAAATATTCGTTTCGGATTCGTATACATCTTTTCAATCAATTGTTCAATTGTTAATTTACCATCATTCACAGCAGTTAACATCAATGGTAAAACTGTTTGTAAACCTGGGAAGCCCGGAGGTGGATTATCTTTCTTGGCCTTTTCTTCTCGTGTATGTGGTGCATGATCCGTTGCAATACAATCAATAATATCCATATTATCCCAGAGAGCTTGGCAATCATCAACTGTTTGTAATTCGGGTTTAACATGACAGAAGCCTTCGTTATTATCGTATGCTTTTAGAATATATTTTGTATTAGCATGATGAAGGAATAGATGATGTGGTGTTACTTCGCAAGTAACTGGTAAACCTTTGGCTTTGGCTGCGCGAATTAGAAGAATCTCATCGCGACGAGCTACGTGTGCAATATGAACGCTACGAGAATAGATTTCAGCTAAACATAAGACACTGGCAACGGTTTGACCTTCGGCGTGAGCAACAATTGGAATGTTCTGTGGCCATGTTTGGAAATCTGAAAGCATGCCAACGATTTTTGTTTGGAAATTATTTTCATGAGTTAATTTTTCTTACGTTTCATCCATGCTTCCATACTGTCTAACTTTAAATCGCCAAACGTTGTGTTTAAGTACATCTTTAATCCAATGGAACGATATGCTATATTGGCAACAGCTGCAGCGTTGTCAACACTTGCGCCCAAGTATAGACCGTAATCACATAGAGCTTTCTTTTCGTAGAGTTTTTCAGTCATCTCCAATACTGATGCATTTGTTACTGCAGGTTTAGTATTTGGCATTGCTAAAACCATTGTTATACCGCCTGGAAGAGAAGTGTACGATTTTTGCTAGCAGAGATTCAGTTCTTACCAGCCAATGCGGAAGCTGTACCGCTAACAATGTCTTCCTTATGCTCATCACCAGGTTCTCGTAAATGAACATGGCTAAACAAAGCATTTAGTGAACGGGAAAACGACAAAAAAAAATAATTTTACCAATCAATCAATCCAGGTAGGCGAATCAATGTAGTTGTTGAAATACAATCAATACACATATCAATGCCTGTTTCATGTCGACTGGAGCGACGTAGTGCTTCTACAAATAGTTTCACGCATTTCACATCAGTCATCAATGGTACACTGTAATCAGTAGCTAAGCGACGACATCGATATCCTTGAGTAACGAATGAAGATGCACGAAATAAACCGGCTGAACGCATTGGAATGTTAATAACCTAGAAAAGATTAATCTAATGGTAATAATAACAAATTCTCGAAATAAAATCTTATGAAACAAACCAGATCGAATGCACCATTAGCAAGATAATCAGCAATTGACGTTTGCGGATTATTTTCTGCTGTTGGTGAGTCAAGTTGACCGTTACCATTTTCTAATCCATTCGAATTGACTTCGGTTTGCTCATATTTCCAATCAATTGGGTGAACTTCAATACCATTCGCTTCATAAAAATCAGCTGTACCAATACTAGCATATAATTCATAACCAAGTTGCTTCAAAGTAAGAATGGCTTGTAATAGTTCTTGTTTAGCTTTATATGAGCCAATGGATAGGAGAATGTTTTTCTTTGGTATACGATAACCAGTACTGATTAATGCTTTTAGGTAAGCATCAAAGCGATCAACGCCGAAACAAGCAACTTCACCCGTAGACATCATTTCAACACCAAGTAAAACATCAGCACCTAAAACACATGAATGAAGATTAATGAAAAGTTGAGATTTAGTGTTGTCGCTGTCGTACCAGATAGACGTGAAAATGAAAATTGTGGAACTTTAACACCGACACGTTCAGATTCAAGAAACAGAACATTATCAATTGGTTCTGGTTCGAGACCAACTAGAATTTGTGTTGCAACAGCAATGAAATCATGATCGAATGTTTTGGAAATGAATGGAAATGACCGTGATACACGAACGTTGCATTCAATTACTTTCAATTCATTATCTTTGGCAATCAATTGTAAATTGAATGGCCCGGAGATTTGCAATGCTTTAGCAACTGAAAAACAAACTCCACGAATCTTTTCAATGGTATCTTCATTGAGATCCTGCGGTGGTGTTACTAAAGTTGCATCACCGGAATGAACACCAGCATTTTCCACATGCTCAGAAATTGCCATGCGAACAACTTCACCATTGGATGCCACGGCATCGATATCTAATTCTTTTGCATCGAGAATAAATTTCGAAATGACAACTGGATATTCTTTGGAAAGGCCATGTTCACTCAAATAGGCTTTTAAGTCTTTAGCATTGAAAACAATCCGCATTGCAGCGCCAGATAAAACATACGATGGCCGAACAAGACATGGATAACCAACTGAATCGCAGAATGCACTAGCACTGTTAAAATTCGATAATTCTTTCCATTTTGGTTGACGAATGTTCATCTCATCGAGTAGACGAGAAAATTTGAAACGGTTTTCTGCTGTATCGATACTTTCCGGAAGTGTACCTAGCAAGAACACATCGATAATGCCAAAAATCATTCTTATTCAACACTTACCAAGAACATTCACATGACTTTGCCGGTGTAAATCCATAGCGATATTATTTGGTAATTGTCCACCCATCGAAAGTATAATACCATGTGGTTTTTCGAAGTTATAAACGTCGAGAACAGATTCGAAGGAAATTTCTTCGAAAAACAATCGATCACTCATATCATAATCCGTACTGACTGTTTCTGGGTTACAATTTAACATTAAAGTATAATAACCAAGGCGTCTCAATTCTTTTAAACAACCAACTGCACACCAATCAAATTCGACACTGCTTCCTATTCGATAAACACCTGATCCAAGGACTAGAATCGGGGTAGCTTCGTTGTTACTGGGCTCTACATCATCACTACTCGCATGGTAAGTTAGGTAGAGGTAGTTGGTTTGTGCCGGCCATTCACCGGAAACAGTATCGATTTGTTTGATAAATGGTCGAATTTGAAATCGTTCCCGGGATGCTCGAACTTCGAGTTCTGTACTACCACAGTATATTCCAATTTGTTTGTCAGAAAATCCTAAACGTTTTGCTTCGAGCAAAAGCGATTGATCTTGAATTATTGATGAATCCGAATGATCGATAATAAATTGAATGATGTTGGCAAATTTATGTAAGAACCATCGGTCGATTTTTGTCAATTCGAATAGACGTTCTATTGAATAACCTTGACGAAGAGCTGTGGCCAAAATAAAAACTCGTTTATCTGTTGGAGAACTCAATTCCTACAGAAGAAAAAGACTGAAATAGGTAAGTTAGACTAAATGAATGGTTACATCATCTGTAATTGTTCGAGAATATGGATCAAAACCAGTTACATCTTCATCAACCATTCGCAATGCTTTTTGAAAAGCTTCTTCAAATGATCGACCGATTGACATAACTTCGCCGACACTTTTCACTAGAATCAAAGTAACAAGGACTATACGTTCATCCTCTTGGATATTGAACATGACTTACTTGAACTACCAATCTTATTTGAACAACGAATAAATTTTCTCAAATCCCATCTGGGAACTTTGATAGTTACATAATCAAGACTCGGTTCAAAACATGCACATGTTTCATTTGTAATACTATTTCTCAATTGCACTAAACTCATTCCTAATCCAAGTTTAGCAGCTATATAAGCTAACGGATATCCAGTTGCTTTCGACGCCAATGCAGATGAACGCGATAGCCGTGCATTTACTTCAATGATATAATATTCACTGCGGGATGGGTTCAGTGCATATTGAACATTGCATTCACCGACAATGCCCAGATGTCGAACAACTTTAATCGACACACTTCGTAATAAATTGTATTCATCATTCGATAATGTCTGACTTGGTGCAACAACGATCGATTCACCTGTATGTATTCCTAATGGATCAATATTTTCCATATTACAAACCTTAATAGTAGACATAAATGAATATTGGCAGGAAGAAGTATGTCGTAAAAATACATACCACAATACAATTATCATATTGATCGCGAACTACTTCGTATTCAACTTCTTTCCAACCTTTGAGTGATTTATCAATCAACAGCTGAGATGAATGAGCCAATGCCGAAGTTACCAATGGAACTAACTCTTCACGATTATCAGCAAATCCCGATCCAAGACCACCAAGAGCAAAGGCAGCACTACCAAAGATAATCGAAATGGTCTTGAAACTCCGCCCTAAAATTGTGTTTACCGAACAAGCACTGGATAACCAAGTCGTTCAGCAGATGCTAATGCCTAGAAAAGGGACGACTCAAATCTAAGTATCAAACGCTAAGGATACATACTTCTTCAAGAGAGTTAACAGCTTCGCATGGAGCAACCTTCTCTCCGATATCAGCCATTTTTTGAGCAAATAAAGATCGATCTTCCGTGATTTGAATTGACTTTATTGGTGTTCTATTTTGATAATCAAATATCCAACAGATGCATTCCTATGTCGAAGAAACTTGATTTAACTTACCCTAATACATTACATGCATATTTTTTTAAAATGCCTGATTCATGTAGTTGAACTCCGCAATTTAGTGCGGTTTGTCCTCCAAAGCTCAGTAGAATACCATCGGGACGTTCGTTCCGAATCACTTGTTCCACGTAAGCAGGTGTAATTGGTAAAAAGAAGACTTTGTTTGCAAGACCTTTCGATGTCTGGACGGTAGCTATGTTGGGATTTATCAGAACAGTGTAGATATTCGCCTCATTCATAGCCTTGATTGCCTGTGTTCCTATTAAGGCCCAAACAAATCAAATCGTACCAGTCACAAGCTCAAAAGAAAACCTGAGTAATCAAATTCACCGGCTTGGCCAATAGTTAAACCTCCACTACCAAGAATAAGAACTTTTCGTACACGACTACAGAATGCTGGTGGTGGCGCATTTGCATCACTGCAACGTCGAGTTAACTGTTCAAGTAAATATGATTTTACATTGACTGAATTATTGGTTTTGAATGATTGAACAACATCAAGAAAAATCTGAAAGAGATTTTCAGTATCACGTGGCCCAGCGCAATGTTCAGGATGAAATTGAACACTGAAGAATGGTTTGGAGTTGTGTACTATTCCTTCATTCGATTGATCATTTTGATTTGTGAACAATACACTCCAGTCTGCTGGTAAACCTTGATCTGTTTGTACAGCAAAACCATGATTTTGTGAAGTTATGAAACAACGTTCAGTTCCTTCCAATAAACACGGCTAAAAAAACAAAACTATTGTATCTTTCGAGTTGCATTTTATCCGAAAACATACTTGATTATGACCTCGATTACCGTATTTCAATTTAGCAGTTTTCATTCCTGCAGCCAATGCCATTAACTAGATCAAAGGATTACACGAATCTATGGAATTTGATCTGTCTTCTATGACTTACCTGATGACCAAGACAAATGCCAAAAATCGGCTTAACCGTTTTACTTTGTAGCCATGATGTAATTGTTTGAATTGTTTCTGGACATTGACTTTGAGGATCACCAGGACCATTACTCAAAAACAAACCATCGAATTCTAGAACACAAAAAATTAGGATAGTGGAAGAATAATCTGATGAATATTTTGGAAGAGGAACATACCATCCTGTTTGACCGGATGATTCCAAGGAAATACAGTTACTTTAGCACCTAACTGACACAAAATACGTAATTGATTGTTTTTCAGACCGCAGTCGATACAAGCAATCGATAGTTTGCCCGCTGGATTGTATACATGTGGTTTCTAATGAGATGATAACACGATTATATGGAGAGTAATCTGATGAATGAGAATATTTACTGAGATGGAGACTTGTGTCATAAGATTAGCTTTATTTTGATCTTCAAATGCAATGGAATTCGGATCTGTTCCTTCCATAACAACCTAGGAAAATCCATTCATTCATTTTCGGGCATGAGTTCTTTTAGTTGTGAGAACAGTTTACTTTGCCAAGCATTGTTCCATGTTCACGAAGTTTCTTCGTTAACATACGCGTATCAATTCCTAAGTATGTTTCCATTATATGATACCCGGCAACAAAAACTCCAAATGCATACCATAAAGACCAGGAACGTTGTGTTTCTTGAGCCATGATGATAAAGATTCCACAGCATTCCAATGACTATACTGTTCAGTATGAGCACTAACAATTAATGCAGACGCAAAAATTTTTCTCGATTCAACCCATTTCAATAAACCAAATTCATCCATAGCTTTTTCATCCGGCACGCCTGAATAAAAACAAGAGATCCACGTTGATAAATCTCATGAATAATAACAGACCATAATTGCCAATCAATGGGAATGTAAGAACAAGGATTTCACCACAATACGATGGATCTGTTAATGATTCCGTATAGCCAACCATACCAGTTTGAAAGACTGAATTCGAAAAAGTAATGAACGAATGCAAACCAACTCCGATCAAGAGGCTTACCAACTTCTCCAGTAGTGTTGGTTTCTGCTCCGAATACGTAACCACTAAATTCAGAACCATCTTCAAGTATCAGTGTTCCACGTTTCATCTTGAAATGAAAATTAAGATCGATGATAGTATGCGTTGTAGAGACCAGCAATCGAACGTATTTTTATGAAAGAATACAAAGAAACGACTTCACAAATAAATACTCGTGCTTTATCGAGGTATTGCATAAAAAATTATCTTTTCGACATTCTGATGTGCTGAATCTAGTACAGTTAACGAGATAAATTTTCGTGAGCAGTGCTGCTGTGATATATGCGAAATATTGAATGGACGGAGTGTACGTGCAAGAATGAAGGATCTGTGGCCACTCCAATCAGATTATATGAAACTTTTTATCAATATATACTGACATCTATCGACGAATCGATCGCGACATCGAAAATTGTTCTGGTTACTTATTGTCGTTGTTTCAACTTATTTATTTGTTGAAATATCTTCCCCATTTCTCTCCCATCGCAGGGATGTCGGGTACAGACGTTCAAAGTAGAAATGCAATTATCAACATACTTTGTACATCAGTGTGCATTTACACGAAGTCAAACTTAGCTTCCAGACACAGTATGCGACTTCAAATTTCACTGTCGAAGGAAAAAGATCAAAGAGTGTTTCGTTTTACTCTAGTATGTTTGGATAAATGTTGGTCAAAATCTAAATTATATTCGTTTTCTGTAATAGTACATCATCAAAAGTCTATTACTAAAATCCCTTTGATCTTTAATCGTCATACTCAAGCAAATCATATAGTACAACTGTTTTCTGCCCTTTCTCAGGTAAACAAATCCGATCGGATCCCTGGAAACGGAATTGCATTGGAAGTCGACTGGAAATATTCAGTCGGTTATTGTAAATTTTATGAGCGATCCTTTTAGCTGTATTCATCGATGTGAAGCTAGCACGAACAAACGATATGTTAGCTAGAAACGTGTTTACTACATATGCCCCGTCCATGCAAACTACACCATTCGACTCATTTTATTCACAGGACAAACTTTGGAGAAATTCTATCTGGATTATAAATAGACCTAAAGGAAACGAACAAAGATATAGGTAAAAATGTGTCCAAAGTTTGTCCCGTGAATAAAAGTGCCACCATTCGATGCAAAATTAAATTCTGAGTCGAATGGTGTAGTTTGCATGGACGGGACACATTTAGTAAAAAAGTTTTTAGCTAACATATCGTTTGTTCGTGCTGGGTTTACACTGATTCAATCCCTACCGTATTCGAGACAATGGTGTTTAAGAAGAACGATTCACACAATCAACCACCGTATGATGTTACGCACGAACGATATCAATGTGCTGAAATTCTGTTTGAACCACCGTTAGCTCCTTCTAAGGGTAATTTTGCTTTCCCTTTATAAGTTGTTAATTTGTTTGTGTGTTTAAAGGTCTGCATTTAGTAATACCGAACTCGATATTACAATGCGATACACAAATTCAAAACGCAATGTTAGGAAAAATTATTCTAGCTAGTGGTAAGTCTCAGCAAATTATTCATCCGCATGTTTAATTTTTTTCTATCTAAGGATCAATGAATTTGCCGCTTATTGATCGAAAATGAAGTATGAATTGTCGCTTTCAAGTCAGTCATCCAGGTCATTGTGATCCGGTCGGCTCCGACCGGTTAAGTTCACTTTCCAACGACTTCCTTGCCGCCTGATTCCAGCCAGAACTTCAAACGAAGTTTCTAGTCACCTCCTGCAAACTTTGAACTGGAAACGGTCAGGAAGTGGCCAGATATTTTCTATAAACTTCCAACCGGTATCCGACGGCAAGCAAGTTGCCGAATTCGGCAAGAATGATAGACCGGGGCATAAAGTCCAAACGTCGTAAAAAAGGAAAAATAAACCGGAGATGCTCGGTGGTTCCATAACTGCTTCATCGTCGTCCATCCAGAATATCATTGTTAGCAAGCAGGAATACGACGATAATGGGACAAAAATCGTGCACGAACGATTTTTCCCTTTTCTGAAAGAAAGGGTTATAGCGTTCTAAAATCGGTGGCTCAAAATCTAAAAGTTTGTGAGTTTGTCCAATCCAATCAGGTTGCAGCTTTTTATAAATCAATAAAACCTTAGAGATGACCATACGGAAATGATTCACCTGAAGTAATCAAGGTCGAGGATCACGAATCCGATATTCGTTTTTCCGTAAAAACTATCTGTCCTGTTTTTTGCGACAATGGTTCACTTTTTTTGCAGAAAGATATTTTTTTATAAGAGTTGATTGAAGGGTTTTCGGGGTCGAGGAACTCGAATCTGAGATTAGTTTTAACTGATTATTAACTATTAATTAACTATCTACTAACTAAGCATGAATTATTAATATGTGTAGTAAGGGTTGACCGAAGGGTAATCGATGTCATGGAATTCAAATCTGAGCTTAGTTTTTTCTTATTCATCAATCTTAGACTTTTTCCTTTCTTGTTTCAAAAGAGATGTTTTTCTGTGTGTTTCACAAATTCTGTTGTAGAAGGTAGTTGTTTCAGCGCTATTCCCGAATGTGATATGTACGAAGACAGTAGTTTATGGAGCTTACACAAAAAGATCTGGTATATCTTACATTATGGTATTAGTGATTTAACCCTTTCCAACCGGGTGTATCCATATGGATATATTTTGCCGTAGGGGAGGGGGTGGGGGGGGGGGG